ACATGATCTGCTGCCCTCTGGTTTTCATGTGTGTATTTCAGATGTTGTCATCATATACAGAAATACAATTGCAATTATATTATGAGTAACAAAAGCTTTTAATGACAGATTTAGTTAATGCAGCAAGTCAATATTTGCAGTGTTGACCCCTCTTCTTCAGGACCTCCCTCTGCAGTTCTCCCTGGCATGCTCTCAATCAACTTCTGGACCAAATCCTGACTGATAGCAGTACATCCTTGCACAATCAATGCTTGCATTTTATCAGAACGTCTAGCCTCTTACACCCTAAGGGGGTATAAATAAATTTCTGCCTGACAAAAACACACAAAAGTAAATAACTTATAGCCTCAAAGCTATTAGATTTAAGAAGAAACTTTTGGTACGTCTGTAAAGGTAAGATGTCATAGAATGGTTTTCTGGTGTCAGCACCATTGTAGCTTTGACCCTGCCTGAACTATTAGGGACAAAATACAAAATATTTTGCATTTTTGAACCTCGCCAAAATTTTCTTTGAAATAAACATTGCAAAACACTACCAAAATATTATTTATAGCACAAAAAAGTAGTACAGACTTTCAAATCTAAATGTTGTGTAAAAATATACCAAATTTGGACTCAATCAGATGAATCATATTTATTTTAGAATGGTATTAGTGAGAAATTTCTTAGGCGGAGAGGCCATTTTGGCACATTTATCCATAAATGTCACCAAACTGTGCCAAATATGTTTTTTACATCAATACTGGGGGTTTGGTAAAATTACGAGGTCACGTAGCAGCTGGACCCGCCGGTGGGTCCGTAGGGTTCAAGGGGCTAGGTTTTTGTTTGTCCACGCGTCTCTTGATGATTGACCACAAGTTTTCAATGGGATTAAGATCAGGGGAGTTTCCAGGCCATGGACCCAAAATCTCTGTTTTATTCCCTGAGCCAGTTAGATATCACCTTTGCTTTATGGCAAGGTTCATCATGCTGGAAAAGGCATTGTTCATCACCAAACTGCTCTTGGATGGATGGGAGAAGTTGCTCCCGGAGGACATTCTGGTACCATTGTTTATTCATGGCTGTGTTTTTAGGTAAGACTGTGAGAGAGCCGACTCCCTTGGCTGAGAAGCAACCCCACACATGAATGGTTTCAGGATGACTTTACAGAAAAGTGAGGTATGAGGTGTTTAGTCACTGAAACTTACATCATCTTCATTTTACTTTTCCCTTTTTAATAGCCAAACCATAACCTGTCAGAGGTTGGTAGCAATGACTCTGCAGTTTACTTAATTTATGAGTTTGCATTTTGGGGCCAGAGGGCAGCGAAATTGGTGACATGATGTGCAGCATTTAACTTAGGGCCGGTGTTACAGAATCTGTGATCTCAACTCACTCTGAGTGAGACATATTCCTAAATTTGTGAGTGAGCCTCCAGATTTTAATCATCTGTCTTCTATTCCATCTCTTGTCCTTCATACAGTTGGGTTTAATTTTATCAGTCATGAAGATTATTCGATTTTTCTATATCAAAACAACGGACATGGGAGAAAGACACATTTCTATAAAGTTTGACATTTGTAATATGAGGTAACTAACTTAGATTCAAATAGTGAAAGGAGCCAGAGTGATAAACAGATTAAGATTCAGACCTAGGACCCAGATACAACCAGAACACATTGGATAATAACTTTAAAAGTTTTATTTCAGAAATTGCAGGTAATTCAGGATTAGGGAAACCAGAGCCTCTGGAGGGGAGAGAACAGGTTAGTGGCTGAGATGGATGATTAATAGTTCACACTGCAAAGCCACTAACCTTTTATAAGCAGACGGGGTGTCTTGGTTCCTGAAACTCTGGTTCTTAGAGAGTTATTTCTCACTGAGGCTTGTCAGGTAATCATGGTCAAAAGAGGAAGCAGGCTCAAAAATCAGGAGGCAGAAATCAGGTAAACAGACAGAGAAAAATGCTGGATGCTTACTAACCAAGGCTTTCAGGCAATCAACTATTTGGTGCATTACTGCCACCAACCAGTAAGGAGGGTGGATCAGGAGAGACACTATATTCATACTATATTCTTCTCACTAATCCTGTTTCTAAATACTGAAACATAATCTTATAGAATATCATAAGTATTTTAAAGAGCCATTTATAGTCATTGAGGTTTAGGTATGGTTTGTTTGGTTTGGTGGTGGTGTTCTGTTTAGATTGAGGCACTGACCTATTTTGCTCTACCACTGGTGGCGGCGTGGAGAGCAGGGGCGGATTTAGGAAATGTGGGGCCCTAGGTAAAGACAGGCAGGGGGCCCTCTGAATTGAGAGACAACACATAAAACAGACCCATTATACAGATACAGAAATGTTAATAGAATAGACATCCATTATTTGTTCTAGGTTTTTTTCCCTCTCTTCTTGTCTCTTTTCTTGTTGTTTTCCTCTCTATGTTTTGTACTCAGGTGACTTTTCGTGCTGTCTCTAAAGGAATTGAAGATTTTTTCCAAGCACTAAGCTCACTTAGCTGATTCTTCCTTCCTGTTTCCAAAAAGGCGCCAGCAAAAGTAAATAACCTAGTCCTTCTTTTCACTGTAGACAAGCCATGATCTGCTTATCTGTTCTCCATTTTTCATTTGAATGAAATAATAGCTGGAAGTAAATCTGTGCCCGTCTCCATTTTTCGGAAAGATCCAGTCCTTCACCTGGAGTGGTCCTCTCCGTACTATCGAGCATTGTGCTCGATCAGACAGCTTCTTGAGTCAGAGTGCTGGGTCATCTTCCAGAAGTACATTGCTTACTAGCTGAGTGGATGATGCTGGACTCTCGCAGTCTGGTGGAACAACATCATTAAGAAAATCTGGCTGGATCATTCTAGAATTCTCTCCATCGCAGCCCATCTCTGTCTCATGCTGAAAACAATCACTTATAAAACACAGTATAAGGCTTTTACCCAGTGGTTAAATAGTAGTAAAAGTATTTTTACTCAATTGCTAAAGTAGAAATTTGAGAAAGTCATGCAACTTCAATTTTGTCTATATATTTATACATATATTACAGTAAATTAACAGTAAATTATTTAATCTATAATTAACTTCACCCTCAGCTCCCACAGCTGTACACAAACACACATTAAAGCAATGTTAATACAAAACTGTAATGCAGAGTGGGAAGTTGATAATAACTTCCTTATGTTTTTTTGAGGATTAAACCACCTGAAACTAAAAGCCTGAGGTTTTCCTGAAATTTAACATGAAAAAAAAAAACAAAAACACCTAAATAGATTTTTCATTGTTTTACAAAAATTCTCAATCAGACAGCTGCTTTCGCCAGAGTACTGGGTCATATTCCAGAAGTACTCTGTTTACTAGCTGAGTTGATGATGCTGGACTAGCAAATACAAATGAAATTCAAAACTTACTCTAAAATGACCCTTCTTCAAGGTAAATAGATACTTAACAATATAGGGGGGACATCCCCTTCAAAGGTTTAATACTCACCAGTAGTTAATCTCCACACGACGGACCCTCCTCAACAGTTCCTGACCAATGTTACAGCTGCCGATTTTGGTTTCAAAAAAACAAAATAAAAAGCAATCCACTGGACTTTGTTTTCCTGCATGACTATGACCTAGATGACAGAAAACCTTCATCAGAATGCTAATTGTGGGCTGTTGCTGGTTTTAGATGCTGCCTCAGAGAAGGAGCAGAAGTCAGTCATTTTTGGTAACTTTAAAAGCAGCTTCCTACTTTAATTTTTTCCCCTCCTCTTTTAAGCGCCACTAGGGTAGCTTCTTTTCATCTTTCTTTTCCTCTCTTCTCTTCTCTGCTCGTCTCTTTGCGCCGTCTGTTTACAACTAACATCTAATTCTGTGTCTGGACCTTTCTGCACATGCGCAGCAAATTGACTAATTCACTGTGGTGGACACTGAAGGGGGTGCACAAATAAGTAATAGCTGTATAAACCATGCATGTAAAAGGGAAATTCAGAAAGTTTTTTTTTTTTAGTTCTTCGTGTAAGAGTACAGGATCCTTTTTGCTGTCTTGTACATCAAAATCACTTTTTTTCTGTGTGTTTTTTATCGGATTAAGGCCTGCTGGAGGCCCAACATCATAACATGGCTAAGAGCTGGTCATAAAAACATGGAAGATGTAAACCAGTCACTGAAATTTAGGTCGGGTTAGATAAAGAAAGTGGGGGATCAACAATCACTGACTGATGAAGTAAACAACTGAAATATGTAACTGAAAACAAAGAATGAACAGTTGGGAAATAGACTGGAACAGCTGGAGCACTACACCAAAATGGAGGGAGTGGTGATATCTGGGCTGGAGACTAAACACCGGGTCACAGAGTGAGGGAGTAAAGGAGAGGATGCACCATCAAGTGAACGGCTTAAACTCGAACAACAAGTGATCAAATTCTACAATACTAAAGACATTACTATTGACAGTAGATCCACCATGACTTGTTATAAAATTACTCAAAGGCAGGCCGAAACACCATACATTGTCATCTGATATATAAAGGCCAATTTATGCTTCTGATGCATAGCCTCTGCAACCATCAAATCTTTAGGTTACTTTCGTAACCCCGGTTCTCTGAGTAGCATGAGTGAGTGTCTCACATTGGGAACGCCTCCAGCGTGACCTCATCAGAAGCTCCTTTTACATTACGCCAGCCAGGATTGGCTGGAAAATAAGCCTGTCAGTGTCAGAGAGGGCAAGGTCCCTCCCCCTATAAATAGGGCTGACACTGTGCTGCTTGTTATTCAAAAGAATGACCACCTCTTCCTCGCAATGTTAGAGCAAGGAGGGTGGTTTGGTGAGACACTCACTCATGCTACTCAGAGAACCGGGGTTACGAAAGTAACCTAAAGTTCTCTTTCATAGCATTCGTTTCGTGTCTCACATTGGGAACGAAAGATATTCTGACTCCCGTATTGCTCAGCAGATCCCACATTATGCGCCTGCTGTCATCATCATTTATTTATATGAATTTAAATATATATATATATATATTTATATATATATTATTTTTGCTCCCTGCTTGGTGTTACACTTAGAACTGAATGCGCCAGTGATGGAGCTGTGACATCCAGTTTGTAAAACCGAGTAAACGTGTGAGATGATGCCCAGCTTGCTGCCGCACATATCTCTTGCAGGGATACTCCTCTGAGTAGGGCCCATGAAGAGCTTAAGCCCCTAGTAGAGTGGGCCCGCAGGCCCTCCGGAGGCTGATGTCCCTTTGAACTATAAGCCAAAGAAATTGCATCAGTTATCCAATGTGCAAGCCGCTGTTTGGAAACAGCTTTTCCATTATGATTTTTAGCCCAGGAGACAAACAACTGGTCACTCTTCCTGACCTGAATTGTCCTCCTCACATAAATCCGTAAAGCGCGCACAGGACAGAGACTGTGTAGTCTTTCCTGCTCCTGTGATGAAAAAGGGGGAGGATGGAAGGCCATCAACTCAATGGGAGAATATGACCCCAACACTTTAGGCTCAAAAGCTGGGTTGGGAAGCAAAACCACTCTGGTCCCATCTAAAGAAAATTTCATGCAAGATGGATGCACTGATAAAGCGTGAATTTCACCCACGCGCTTTGCAGAAACCAGTGCCAATAGGAGCGCTGTTTTTAGAGCTACTACCTTTAATTCCACCTGATCCAGAGGTTCAAAGGGTGTGGTAGTAAGAGCATCCAGCACCAGGGGTAGATCCCAGGATGGAGCAATTGGTCTTGAAACAGGGAGCTTCCTTCGAGCTCCCCGCATGAAGCGGCACACCAAGGGATGCTGGCCCACAGTTTTCCCCTCAAAGCCTATGTGGCAGGCCGAAATTGCCGCCAAGTAGACCTTAATAGTGGAAAAAGCTTTCCCTTTATCAATCAGGCTCTGTAGGAAAGCTAAAATTACCCCCAGAGAACACTGAAAAGGAACATCTTTCATCTCTGAGCACCATTTTTCAAAAACGGACCATTTATACCCATACAGAGATCGTGTTGCAGGAGCCCTAGCATCCTGTATCGTCTCAATAATATTTTGTGGAAGCCCTACCGACTGTAGGTTAAACCACTCACGGGCCAGGCCCATAGAGCCAGTCTTTCTGGGTGGGGGTGAAAAATCTGTCCTCGTGCCTGAGACAGCAGATCCCTGCGTACAGGGAGTGACCATGGTTCCTGCCAGAGGAGCTGTGTTATCTCTGCTAACCAATGCTTCGCTGGCCAATTGGGTGCGATGAGGATCATTGTATGACCCTCTGCTCGTACCCTGGCTAGTGTAGGTGAAATGAGAGCTATTGGGGGAAACGCATAAAGCAGAGTGTGAGGCCAGTGGTGGGCTAGCGCATCTACCCCCAGAGGTGGGTTCCGATCGTGCAGGGAGAAGAACAGGGGACACTGATTGTTCTCTTGAGAAGCAAAAAGGTCCACGGATGGTTGACCGAACCGCTGCCAGACCATCCTCACCACATCTGGGTGGAGTTTCCACTCTGCATACATGGGATTCCCCCTGGAGAGAAGATCTGCTCCACAGTTCAACACTCCCTGTACATGGGTGGCCCTCAAAGACAGGAAGTGTCTGCTGCTCCAAATGATTAGTTTGTGAGCAAGCGTGTGGAGCCTCAGCGATCTCAGCCCCCCCTGCCTGTTGATATAAGCCACCACTGTTGTGTTGTCTGTTCTGATCAGCACATGGTGAGCTCTCAGGATGGGAAGGAAATGCTTTAATGCTAGGTGAACAGCCTTCAGCTCCAAGTAATTTATGTGCTTGGACTGCATTTCTGGACCCCAGGTTCCGTTCACCATTTTCCGTTCGCATATAGCCCCCCAGCCTGACAGAAAGGCATCTGTTGTGACAACCTTTCTGCTCTGCACCACTCCCATTGGGACACCCTGTGCCAGTGTCTCTTTGCTCCGCCATGGGCGCAGTGCAGCCATGCAGGCTGCCGTGACTCTTAGCATATGATGGGGGGTATGTGACTTTAACCTGTGAGAGGCTACCCATCGTTGGATTCCTCTCATGTGGAGACGTCCCAGAGGGATCACCACTAATGCTGCGGCCATCAGCCCCAGCAGCCTCCTGCAGAGGCTGAATGATACCAGGTTCCCTCTTTGAAACCTGGACAAACAATTGAGCATTGTTTTCACTCTGTCCTCCGTTAGGCTTACTCTGGCATGGATTGAGTCCAGAGAGAGACCTATGAAAGCTATTCTCTGAGAGGGAAACAGGGAACTCTTTTCCAGGTTTATTTTGAAACCCAGATCCATCAGGTGCTCTTTTATCATAGCTGTGTGAAGTGAGGCTTCCTGGTGGGAGGACGAGGCGATCAGCCAATCGTCTATATACGTTGCCACACGTATTCCCCGCCTCCTGAGCGGACCCACCGCTGCCTCTGTGCATTTCACAAACACCCTCGGGCTCAGAGAGAGTCCGAAAGGGAGGACAAGGTATTCGTAACAGTTCCCGTGAAAAGAGAATCTCAGGTATTTTCTGTGTGGGGGGTAAATTGGGATGTGAAAATAAGCATCCTTGAGGTCGATTGATGTAAACCAATCGCCTGGACGCAGAAAGCGCAGCAGGGACACGTTTGTCAGCATCTTGAATCTGTATTTTCTTAGATGCCTGTTCAGCGCTCTGAGGTCTAGAATTGCACGCATTCCTCGGCCGCCTTTCTTTGGCACAAGGAAATAACGTGAATAAAAACCCTCGCTGCTGTGCTCTGGTTGAATCAGCCGTATCGCTTTCTTTTCCAGCAAAGAGGAAATCTCTTCCTTTAGGAAGAGAGCGGCTTGTCCCTCCGCGTGTGACTGGATTATTCCTCTGAAGCTTGGAGGAACTGCAGTGAACTGCAGTCTGTATCCCCTCCTGAGCGTTCTTAACACCCACTCTGAGTCTGTGCATTTTTCCCAAAGGTGGATGTTCACTGTCAGCTGGCTGACTGGCCAGTCTGACAGCGAGCTGCGAGCGCCCTCTATGGGTGGAGGGACGTAAACAGCTCCGTGCTGCATTGCGCATGCGCGTAGCGTCTGGTGCGCTACAGAGCTGCTCATGTTGGGGAGAGGTCTCACTTCTTTTGAAAAAGAAGGTACCGGCTCCCCGAGTGAAATGTTTATGTTTTTCAACATTTTTGACTGCGCCCTTGGTTCTCGACCTGGATGCGTCAGTCTGGAAGCATTTATTACAGTTGAACACAAAGACGTGCTTGTGAAACATGTTCGGGGTTCGCTCTGGATATCCCCGCATTGAACAGAGTCTTTCGACTTTCTGGCGTGGTGAGCAGGCCGGAACATCCTGTCGGTCACACGCTGTGTTTGGCTGAACTCTCTGAACAGGCTCAGGAACGGAGCCACGGAGGAGGGCGATCCCAGCTCGCTTCCTCCTCTCTGGAACGGTGTTAGGCCAACCGCTTCCTTCTCCTCACCGCCGGTGTGGAGGTGGGGGGTGGTTGGTCCGTGCGAGGGCCTTCAGGCTTTTTCTGCCAGTTAGCTTTGGGGGCAGATGTTTTCTGCGCACCTTGCGGTGCTGCTTGGGTCTTCGGCAGTTTTGGGATCCTGAAGGCAGGAGGGAAGCGGGCTGCTGCCTGGGCGAAGGTTTGGCGCTGGGGTGCGGGGGTCGCAGACGCAGCGGAAAACGTACGTCTGGGAAGGCACAGCTTTAGGGCTTCATCATCCCTCTTCTTCTCCTCCCATCTCTTTTGCATGGAGGTTACTGCTTCCCCAAACAGCCCTTGAGCTGATATGGGTGTGTCCAGGAGGTCCTCCTTCTCCTTAGTTGCCAGGGTAGTGAGATTCAGCCACCTGGCTCTCTCCTGCAAAACCATTAGTCCCATAGATCTGCCCATCGCTTGGATCGCCACCTTATGGAGGTGCAGGCAATGGTCGGTAATGACGCACACCTCCTCCCAGAGCGCAGCATCTGGTGCGGCAGTCATTTGCTCTTCCAGCTCTGCTTGATAGGCCATCAGCATAGAGGAGGCATTTAGAGCGCGGACTGAGAGCGCGGCTGCTCTGTAGCACTTATCAGTCAGGCTTGACTGAAAGCGGTCCGCTCTCGATGGAAGGGCGGGACCTCCCGCTGACATGGAAGTCTTCGGGTGCAGGTGTGTTGCAACGGCCGGCTCGACAGGTGGCATTTGGCGAAGGCCGTAATTTTCCATCCCATCACAATCCAGTACCGAACTGCCGGCTACTGGGTGCTTCTCCTTAAACGGCTTGTTGCGCCAGGAGACGGCCAATTCTTCCAGCAGCTCCGGGAAAATTGGTAGGAGCTGTCTGGACGTCTTGCGGGTCTTAGGCAGCCTTTTTCCGTCAAAGCGGGAGCGGGCAGCTTCTGCCTGGACCTCTGGCCACTGAATATCGAGCTTTGCAGCAGCGCGTTTACACACGTCGTGCATGTCAAAATCCAGCTCCGACGGGGAACCTTCCTGACCGGATTGCTCCGAGCCCGGGGGTGCGGGTTTTGCAATCCGTACCGAGGGCGCCGGGGCCGGGTCATAGTCCTCATCGTTGTCTGAGAAGGGTAGCTCCGACTCCAAGTCAGAGAGCTCCTCGTCCCCCTCAAACAGCAAATCGAGCTGGCTCGAAGCGATACCTAGCTCGGGCATTTCCCGTGGCAATGGGTCCACGGAATCGAGGATTTCTCCCCAGCTCGGTCCGGCCTCTGCATCGGTGGGTAAAGACACAGCCTGGTCGGCTGGTTCTTGTGTCGGTGCCGTGGAGGCCATCACCGGGTCATTACCGGACATGGTCGATTGACGAGCCAGGCGGCGGCGAAGCACCTTCAGGGAGAACCGGCTACAGTGTGAGCACTCCTCCGTAGATTGGAGGGCTGCCTGGGTGTGTTTCAGACCGAGACATACCACACAGGATGGGTGGGTGTCCCAGCTTGAAATTTTATTGCCACACGGACAGGTTCGTCCCTTGGGGCTCCCCTCCGCTTTCGCAGAGGATTTAGCAGTCTCCATTATTTTATTTTTATTTTGGAGATTGGCTTTGGGGCTACACGGGAATTAGCTTGTGAAAGCTAAGCTAACCAGGTGTGGCTAGGTTGGGGACGGCGTTTCGGCCACCCGGGGTGTAGCTACGGAGTATTGCTACTCAGTGTCGACCAACGTACAGCCGTGAGGCGGTGCGTTGACTCGAGTATTACTACTCGTTTTATGGTATTTCTACCAGGAAAACGTCTCCGCTTGATACCGAACCAGTTCGGAGCAAAGCGCCCAGCGACCGAGCTTGCGCGCGAGTCTTTGGACTGTTAAGCTAGGCTCCAAGAGAGACGGTATCCAAGAGGAAGCTAATTGGGAACTTCTGCTCGTTGCGAGAAGAGGTTTTTGAATAACAAGCAGCACAGTGTCAGCCCTATTTATAGGGGGAGGGACCTTGCCCTCTCTGACACTGACAGGCTTATTTTCCAGCCAATCCTGGCTGGCGTAATGTAAAAGGAGCTTCTGATGAGGTCACGCTGGAGGCGTTCCCAATGTGAGACACGAAACGAATGCTATGAAAGAGAACTGTCTCTGTGCACCTCAAAAAAATCCTGACTACGCTTCGGACGGTGACTAACCCGCTCAGACCTCAATTGGAAGTGCGCAGACAAAAAGCAGCTGTGACGGGTCCTTGGTATGCCTTTCCGACTGTCTGTGTAGGCTCCCCCTTGCCTTTTGGCAGGAAACTGCTGTGAGTCCCTATAAAATTCCAGACCCACGGTGCAGAAGCATAGCAGCAAAACTGGTTCACGACCACACCCAAGCGACATTCAATGTGTGCAATAAGGGCATAAATGTGTTTGTGAATGAGTACTTAACTAAAAGGAATGTGGAGATCGCCCGTTAAGCAAGGATTTTGAAAAAGGAAGGAAAGATACAGGACATATGGACTAGAAATTGTTAAAAAAAATAAAATAAAACTCAAGTTACCACCAGAGAAAGCAAAAATCATTGCCATAAGAAAACTGTCAGAGTTGGAAGAATTTAAAGGAGTCCAGTCAGAAAGGAATAATCAATGGATCATTATCTATAACTAAAACTAATACTTTTGCGGTAATTTACTGAATTATGCATTTTTTAAGTAAAAAAAAGTAATAGTAATAATTTTCGTTGTGATCACTGAGTCTGAGACCAGCCATTTTTGCCCAAACATAGAAACACTTCACTCCTGACATCTTCCTGCAGTGACCTCACGGTGCGGCAAGCCTAGCACCATTCTCCCCACTTTACAAGCTAAATCAATGTGTACTGTTACTGTATACACATCTGCAATCAATAACAGTTATTTTAGATTTTGAGAAGACTTCACTAAATTGGTGAGAACTATTTTTAAAGTGACAATGCCCACATGCATGACAGTTGGATGTTGCAATTCATCAGGTAAAAGAAGATCTATTTCACCTTCTGATTCCTGATCAGAGGGAGGATTTGCCATCAAACTTCTGGCCAGAGAAAAAACACGTAATATGTAGCCAACATTTGGAAGGAGAATGTTTTCAAGATGACTTGGATAATAGCGCGTTGTGACAAACACCAGATACAGCACTGGGACTTGATCAACAGCCGATACCGCACCGTGACGTTACAAACCAGTAGGTGGCAGTAGTGTTCTTTGACGAACATGCATGCCTCCAAATTAAAATTACTCTTATTTAAAAACACTTTATTGAACTGTATGTAATAATTTCATATTTAAAGTATTCAGAAGGGGACTTTAGGGTTAAGAGGAAGGGTATTTATCTTATACATTTTTATAGCTTGAGTCTCTACAGAAACTCTTCCAAAATATAGGACTATTTAAGCACATTTAAGGAGAAGTTTAGGGTGGTGGCCATCTCAGAAACATGTATAACAGATGGGAAAATAATGGAGGGAAAAAAATGGATGATTATGAAATATTTTTTTCAGAACAGATTTAACAAAAGCTCCCTTTTAACAGGAGGAAACCTCCAGCAAGACCATGCTGAGTGTGAGCGGCCATCTGCGGAGGCCGACTAGAGTTCAAGGAGACAGAAGTAGACATACAGAAAGAAGCATAGATACAAAAAGGCAACTGTCAACCAGCTCCGCAGGTGTCCCCGTCCAGGAAATACACAGCCAGGCAGAAGAGCCCTGAGCTAGCTGCCATGTCAGAGGATGAAGAGAGCACAGCCAGCCAGTCACAGTCAAAGAAACAGGACTACACTGAAAAACAGGCCGATCTCCAACATCTCTCCAGGATGGAGTCATTGCCAAACAGGAACAGACCAGATGAAGCTACTATGAGGAAAAGCACAAAGAGAGCAAAGTGTTTGAATTTGAACAAACATGTTCAGCAGAGTGGGAGAATAGAGAGAGAATGAAGCTGAATGATGAAAACGTGGGTCCTATGTCCTCCAGCATTCTAAGCCTATAGCAGCATAACTATAGAGATAGCTCAGGATAACCTGAGCCACTCTAACTCTAGTCTAAGCCTTCTCAAAAAGGAAAGTATTAAAGGTGTAGGTGTAAGTGCTGTAGAAGATCTTGGAAAAACGGTTCAGGCATGCTATATTTTTGAACATACACAGCCATGCTTCTCCCTTCAGACTACCCCTCGAAACCACGCCTTCAAAACACATGAACAAGGCAAAGAAAGGACAGGGTAGCTCCGTCCAACACGCATCAGACCCACTTTTTCTACCGCGCAGCCAGAGCAGCAAAGATGCTTCAGCCACGCATCAGAACTAAACTTGAGGATTTTAAATTATATTCTAGATATAACAGGAAGCAAATGAAGAGAAACTAGGATAGGAGAAATGTGATCTCTCTTTTTTTAATTTTCATCAGAACTCTGGCTGCAGCATTTTGGATCAGCTGAAGGATTTTAACTACAGTTTGTGGACTTCCTGATAGTAAAGAATTACAATAGTCCTTTTTTCAGCATCATCCCTAGAGAGGATATTTCAAATTTTTGCAATATTCCGCAGATGAAAGAAGGAAATTCTTGAGACCTCTTTGATATGGGATTTAAATGACAGGTTCTGATCAAAAATAACACAAAGATTTTTTTACTTTATTATCTGAGATCAACTTATTCCCATCCAAATGAAGTGACTGGCTAATCAGCTTCTTTTTCAGAGACTCTGGTCCAAGGATTACATTTACATTGCATTTGAAGCAGTAAATGTGGCGTTGAAGCAGAAAGTTAGGAGTCATCCAGGTTTTTATGTCTTCAAAACATGCCTGTAATCTATGTAATGGGTTAGCTTCATCTGGATTCATAGACAGATATAGCTGGGTATCATCAGCATAACAGTCAATGGTAGCTCGCCAATAGAGGCTGCTAGGGCACCGCCCCATCCACCAAAAGACCTTGATTAAAATAAAAAAACAAAAACAAATTAAAATTAAATTATAAAGTAGTTTTTTAGATGCGAGAAGATAAATATCTAATATCTATCTTTAATGACGAGTAAAGCTGTTTTCCGTTTTAGTCAGATTGGTGATGTATTTCTTCCCTGGGGCCTTTTCTAAATGTTTGTTAATTTGAATAGTTGTTCTTAAATAAACACATTCTCAGAAAATAAATAATTTTTATATAATAAAAACATACAGCTGAGTAATAGCTTCTCCATTAATAAAAATATATTTTTTTACTGGACCATTCAAAACACAGATTTGCCTTTACAAAGCCTCAGAAGGGCAAGAGTTATGTACAAAAAGTAAACCTGTACATGAAATTATGTTTTGTGTAATTCCCCAAGGTACGACAGGCACAAGTGGCTTTCTCTACCGATGGATTTATTGAATCTTGCTTGTCCAGACTTATTAACCACACCGTGAAAACTAAAAGGCACAAACAATACAATAATTAGCTTACAAAAAATAAAGACAATTGACAAATATGATGACTGCCACAAATAAACAGACTTAAAACCTAGTTGGCTGAGTACCAGAATAGTTTTCTTCTTTCTTGGTTCACTTAAACTTTGTGACTGACACATGCATCAGGTCTCTCTGGGGATCGCTTCTTCTTAGGAAAACTAACCTCTACTCTGCAAAGCCCCTCCATGCGCCCCCTGGTGGCGCACATCCACAACAGCAATGAAATACACACAAAAACAGGCATATATGAAAAAGTGGCAGCAACATTTTGTTTTCATAAAGTGTTTTTATGATGCTTTCTGGTATCTAGGCTATGAAAATCTTTATGGGATAGTTTTTTGATAAAGAATTACAGTTTTATTAGGCAGGCTTTACTGTGTTATTGAAACAGTAAAATTTGAACAGAAGGACAAAATCGCATGAGCAACAAATGAATCATATGCAAAAAAAAATGTATTGCATGCTATTACACATGGAATAGAACTGCAGAATATAGTGTATAAGATTAACATTTGAATCTAAAAATTGTAGAGAATAATCGATTCAGACAGAAACAAAAAATACTCTGTGATTAAGACAAACTGCCCAACATTTAAATGAATGACCTCCATTTTGTTTTTGACAGACATCTTAGATTTATTCATAGTTTTTGTGTTCAGGACAAAAGTTTAGTAATTTTGATTCGTAATTATTTTAGTTTGGTTTTAGTCGACTAAAACTCAGAAATTCCCTAAAAAGTGAACCTTTAAAATTTCAAATAACAACCAGATTCTTTACCAGACTGACAGCTCTTGCCTAGATACTACAATTGGTGGGTATAGAATTCTGCTATGTTCATCATTGCTGTTGGCAAAAAAAAAAAAAATTATTTATAGAATTCAAATAAACCTTTTCATGAATTAATGCCCCACTTTACATAGAAGTGTCTCACAAGTTGTGAAAATAACAGATCTACAGTAGTTCAACACATCATACTGGTTAATATAGCAGACAGACAAGCTAAAAAAAATGTACAATAAAGGAACGGTTTTAGACATACAAGGTTTCCATCCCAAAGCAAACACTTCCTCATCTACTATGAATTGTGCATTACACACAGATCAATAAATCTTCATTGCTCTAAAAAAGCAAAAAACAGAAAAACAACCCTCTCTCTACCCTGGCAATTTTAGCTTAATTTCTAAGAATTTGCCCATTAGTTACCGCTGCTCAGGGGTCAAAGTAGATTTAAATTCAAAGGGTTTTGATATATATATAAAAAAAAAGTAAAGAGATAAACTACATAATTGCCTTGTACTGCCATGGCAATCCAGATGTAAATTTAATGAATATGTTACCTAAATGTTGAAATAATTAAAGGAAACGATGAAAATGTTTAATGAAAATGCAAGGAAACATTTATATCATATTTTAATAGATAGAAACGAGATCTATGAGAAAAATTTATCTTTTCATCTGGGTCTTTATCCAAAAATAAACAGCATGCAATCAAATACATTCTTAGGATTTAAGTTATAGATAAATTTAGGTAGAAATTAAAGAATGCTTAGCATCACCGCTTGTACTGTAGGCTGGAAGAAATAAAATCTTGATAGTTACAGAAAGGGATATTTTACGCTTGGCAGAGGATGATCAGCCACACATTGTTTATGAACTAGTGAGGGCAGGAAGAGCCATTCGGCTGAGAGCGAACCATCAGTCTGGAGCTAAAAGGGCAGACTCTGAGCTAAGCATGCACAAAGATGCATAACTGAACAAGCACAGCAGGAAGAATATAGTTTGTCAGAGTTCATCGTGCATTACCGGATGATTCCAGCTTATTTTCACCGATGCTGCTGCTGTCATGATCCATCTGTGGTCAAGCAGAATGTGCACCTCTACAAACCAGGTGGGCAGGATGAGCAAACAGGACGCAGCTGCTCAACTGATACTACCTGGCTTGTTTAACCGATTGCAGTACAATAAGGAATTTTAAAAGTCTTACTGAACTCCCACTCCCAAATTTTTATTTAGTCTCGTCAACGAAGACTCAAACCCATAAGTCATCAAGTTTTTGTCATCAAAGATCCAAGTTTAGCTCGCGGTTCTCATTATCGTCATGAAAAAAAGGAGCATCAACTACATAATTTTGTCATAGTCATTATTGACGAACATTGGCTTTCCTTACAAATAAAAATAATAAGTGAAACATCATTATATTCAGTGTAAAGCCTTGACTAGAAACAGCCAGACAAACATGGAACCATGGCATAATCTCAACTTCTAACTTTAAAGGACTTGCAGAGGATGAAGTTTTAATGAATTATAAAAAGGAAACATTTTAAATCCATTAGCTTTTTTTTTATCTGAAAAAGACAGACACGTACAGGCTGTTCATCAATAAGAGTATTTTTCTGAGAGTTGGAGTGTCTTTATCTCCAATTCAGCACAACAACACTGATGAACCAGATCGGTGCCATCTGAACTCAAATCCAGGAAACAGAGGTTCAGTAAATGTGGCGTTGAAGGTGTGGAGGAGAATCAATGATTCAGGTGACACTTTGTAGAAGGAGAGAACGCCAGCCGGACAGTCCACATACACTGCTACTCTGTTTGAGATGGGGGAGGAAATATGTGTTTCTATGTCATTGTGCCAGACAGAATACCCATCATCAAAGCAGCTTAGACTCCAGGACTGATTATTCCTTCCAAAACAAGGTTCTTTTCTCTTGCTATTTCTGCTGTAACTCACTGAGATATCAACTCTCCCTCTCCATTCAACCTCCCAGTAATGGCGGCCAGTCAGAGCATTTGTACACAGCAACTGAGGCCAGTAATCAAATTTGTGTAAATGATCAAATGTCACTTTCCTGTTGTCCTCAGAAAGTTTCAGGTATCTGCTCACTGCATTTGTGTCGAATGTGAGTAGACAGAAGTCTGTTAAAGAGAACAAACATAATCAAATTTCAGCTTTTACCTTTTTTTTTTTTTACACTGCAATGGAAACTCCTGAAAAGGTGATGGGACAGTTAAACATTGGTTTAATCTTAGCTACTTCATTTATATGAATCACACTTACATCTCCAGGGACCAGGGTTCAACCATCGGATTCCAGCAGGCTCCACCCTGAAAAGGGGAGGTCAGATCATCATTTTCAGCATGCAAACATGGATATTACATGTGTCTCAAACATGCTATTGTCATACATTATAAAATGGTGCTTAAAACATTGCAAACTTCAGATAATGCAGTGAGGACAGTTGGTACGGCTGTAATTAAACATATTTCACTAAACAGAGGAAAACTCCAACAGAGAGGAGGAATGAAATTCCTGCTCAATGATAGTCTCAGAGGTCAATTCAAACTGCAGAGACTATCATAAAGATGAAGGAATACACCAGGCCAGTCCAAGAAATTGTTGTGGAGAAGTCTAAAGTCTGATTTGGATACAGAAATATTTTCCAAACTTTAGACATCCCAAGGAGGACTGAGCAAGAGATAATATTGACATGGAAGGAGCATCAGACCACTGTAAATCTACGACTAACCGGCCATCCCTCTAATCTTTCAGCTCAAACAAGGAGAAGACGGATCAGAAATACAGCCAAGAGAGCCATGATCACTCTGGTTGAACTGCAGAGATCTACAGCTGTGGTTTCAGACTCTGTCCATAGGACAACAATTAGTTGTGTACTGCATGAATCCAACCTTCATTGAAAAAAGCCATTTCTTAAATATATCCATAAAGTTTACCACAAGCCACTTAGGAGAAACACCAAATATGTGCAAGAAGGTGCTCTGTTCAGACAAAACCAAAATCGAAATTTTTGGCAACAATGCATGTTATGTTTAGTGTAAAAACAACACAGCTGATCACCCTGAAAACACCATTAAATCACAACTTTATAGCTTCATGTTTCAGGCCTGAAATTTGGCAAAAGTTCAAAGTTCAAGGGTCCGAATGCTTTGCAAGGCAATGTATATTATCTATTTGGGAACGTATCAATTTCTCAATGAGAGACTAGATTCCAAAGTTCACAATGTAAAAGATAAAACAACTTATTGACACATCTTATATTATCTTATCAAACACTTCTCAGTCTCAGCTTAGAATATGACATATATAACATAAAAATAACATTATTTTACATTATATATGAACCCCAAAAATGTAACATAATATATGTCCATTGTCTACAGTATGTGAGCTGAAGACAAATGTAGGCTACAGTATGTACATCATACTAAAGCCTCTTCCCCACTGAAATTACCAGGTTAACCCGGGTTTTCAAACAGGGGTCGATTGGCTAACAATCAGAATTTGGCTTCCCACCCATTGGCAAAAATGGAGGGTCTAACATCCTTCTGGCAAAATGCATGGCCTCTGTCCCTTGCTGTTGGATGTCTGGTGACACATCACACTGGATTAGCATTGATAATGGGAGCACTGCAACAAAAATCAGGGAAGTAAACAATGAAGAGCAACATGTAAGGAAGCCAGGGTCTACTAAATGTGATGTATTGTTTCACTGCTTTGTCTATCCCAATACTTCTCACCAGTGCCGTGCCATTTTTATTAAATTTAAACAGGATTGTTTTGGCTTTTTAGAAAAGATGTGAATTAGCGAGTGAAACCGTGTGCCGATCAGAGCTGAGCCGCTTTTAAAACAAGGCACTTGCGAGTTGTTTGACCCAGGTATACACATATCAGTGAGCTGTTCCCATTACCACTTAAAACCGATTTATCCCGGGTTTAAACGGGTTTTTCAGTCAGTGGGAACAGGATATACACTATATTGCCAAAAGTATTTGCTCACCCATCCAAATTATTGGAATCAGGTGTTCCAATCACTTCCATGGCCACAGGTGTATAAATTCAAGCACCTAGGCATGCAGACTGTTTTTACAAACATTTGTGAAAGAATGGGTCGCTCTCAGGAGCTCAGTGAATTCCAGCGTGGAACTGTGATAGGATGCCACCTGTGCAACAAATCCAGTCGTGAAATTTCCTCGCTCCTAAATATTCCACAGTCAACTGTCAGCTGTATTATAAGAAAATGGAAGTGTTTGGGAACGACAGCAACTCAGCCACGAAGTGGTAGGCCACGTAAACTGACGGAGCGGGGTCAGCGGATGCTGAAGCGCATAGTGCGAAGAGGTCGCCAACTTTCTGCAGAGTCAATCACTACAGACCTCCAAACTTCATGTGGCCTTCAGATTAGCTCAAGAACAGTGCGCAGAGAGCTTCATGGAATGGGTTTCCATGGTCGAGCAGCTGCATCCAAGCCATACATCACCAAGTGCAATGCAAAGCGTCGGATGCGGTGGTGTAAAGCACGCCGCCACTGGACTCTAGAGCAGTGGAGACGCGTTCTCTGGAGTGACGAATCGCGCTTCTCCATCTGGCAATCTGATGGACGGGTCTGGGTTTGGCGGTTGCCAGGAGAACGGTACTTGTCTGACTGCATTGTGCCAAGTGTAAAGTTTGGTGGAGGGGGGATTATGGTGTGGGGTTGTTTTTCAGGAGCTGGGCTTGGCCCCTTAGTTCCAGTGAAAGGAACTCTGAATGCTTCAGCATACCAAGACATTTTGGACAATTCCATGCTCCCAACTTTGTGGGAACAGTTTGGAGCTGGCCCCTTCCTCTTCCAACATGACTGTGCACCAGTGCACAAAGCAAGGTCCATAAAGACATGGATGACAGAGTCTGGTGTGGATGAACTTGACTGGCCTGCACAGAGTCCTGACCTCAACCCGATAGAACACCTTTGGGATGAATTAGAGCGGAGACTGAGAGCCAGGCCTTCTCGTCCAACATCAGTGTGCGACCTCACAAATGCGCTTCTGGAAGAATGGTCAAAAATTCCCATAAACACACTCCTAAACCTTGTGGACAGCCTTCCCAGAAGAGTTGAAGCTGTTCTAGCTGCAAAGGGTGGACCGACGTCATATTGAACCCTATGGATTAGGAACGGGATGTCACTTAAGCTCATATGTGAGTCAAGGCAGGTGAGCAAATACTTTTGGCAATATAGTGTATGTTAGCCTACACTGTCCCATTTAGCACTTTCCACAAACCCAAACTGGGTCCTTCCTAGGTAAGTGCCAATGGGGCATTTACATGAGAAAAGGGAATGAGTTCTGAAAGAAGAACAAGAATTTGAGAAGAAGGTTTGGAGCACAACTGACACACTCACCCCCTTCTCCTCCCCTGACTAGTTGGTAAATGATAAAATATCTGCACATACTTAATTGACCTACACATTAACAAACAATATGCCAATCCTAACATCTAAAAATCTAACCAAAAATAACATTATCTTGATTAAATGTTTGGCTGCTACAGCTGGAAATGTTCTAAAGCTCTCATTTTTATTGAAAACAAGACTAAAGTAATTATGTTTGAGCAAATATTTATTGCTTGTTATCATGATTTAATGGTGCAATTTGTATCTTAAAAATTTGGAAGTTAGATGAAACGTTACTTTTAATATTGAAAGTCAAATTTGTTCACTAACCATTTTTTAAATTGATGTATGAAAGGTAAAACATATATGTTTCCAGGATGTCCAACACGTCCCCACTTGATCTACTTTTTATGTTATTAGTCAGATCTGCTTGAAAAGACTGCAGATGATCTGCTTTTAGCTGTTCCAAGGTCTCCACTGGTTCACAGAGGGAACTTCCATTTGAATTATTTTTTGTGTGTGTTTTATATAATTAAGCTTTGAACTGTAGTCTTCTGTCTAAATCAACTTACCACACAGGAATGGCATTATCTACTGAATTATTGCCAAGATTTTCTTTTTTTAATTTAAACAGGTAAAATTCCATACATTTACCTTTTACTATTTAAAATTTCCCTAATCCTAAACCCCATCATAATCAGATGATCTGTTTCAGCAAGTCAGATTAATAACCCTTAGAGCACATTTCCCACTCTCCTTGCTCTATCTGACATTATTCTCACCAGCAGCATGTTCATCCATACCTGAGATCTTCCAGTCTCCAGTGTGGATCTTTAACTCCGGCCAAAAGCAGCTTCAGTCCTGAGTCTCCGGGATGGTTGTAGCTCAGGTCCAACTTTTTCAGATGAGAGGGGTTGGAGTTCAGAGATGAGGCCAGAGAAGCACACCCTTCCTCTGAGATCAGACAGCCTGACAAGCTACAGACACACAAATAAAAAAAGAAAAAACATAAAAAAACACCATAAATTGGTTCTTAATAAGGTTATGATATAAATATAATGTATTTAGTTTTATAGGTCATAAAAGTAACATTTCTCACATTCAAACTTATAAATCCTGAAAGTAAAAACTAGCAAAAAATAACAAACTCTGCAAAAAGAGATTGCTTTAAGCCCTCTTCAAACTCTGACCAAATATAAACAGGTGGTCCTACTGGAACCATTATTCTGGTATTTAGGTAGCTTTAGATTGAAAACATTCACCTTAGAGTTTCCAGTTTGCAGTTTTGACTCTTCAGTCCAACAGAGATATTCTTCCCTCCTGAATTATGCAGGTTATTATTACTAAGGTTTAGTTCTGTAAGAGTGATGGACTGGGAGCTGAGAACTGAGGCCAGAGCTTCACAACTTCCTTCTAAGATGTCACATCGACTGAGTCTGAAACAGTGAGAATAATTTGCTGATAAGCATCCATCCATCCATACACACATACATGCATATATACATCTATGCAAGAAACGATGCTAATTTGTTAATATACAGCACTGGTGTGGATTCAAAGAGAATAAAGGTCAGATAAGAAGAGCTACCAAAGCTATTATTGAAATTTACACCACCCTGTATAAAATCACAGTAATCTGAACCATGGCAAACATAAAATAGTCTTAAATCAGGCAACTGGACTTTCGTTCAGTTTTTTAACACATATTCAAAAGTCTTTGTCATTTCTGTAAAGCAAGCTTTAGTTGGAGCACTTATGTTTTAAGCAACATAATAAAAGCACATTTAAAGTCCGATTCAAGTCAAAGACACTCCAGGGTTGTTGAAGTCTTTTGTTGTGTAGAGGTTATGTGTTTGACTATTTTATTTGTGATGTAAGTGCTTTTTCGAATGAGTTCTAGGACCACATTGTCAATGCTTGGAAGCTGAAACCATAGGCCTCCCACTGTATTTAGTAATGATATTTCTCTCTTGATAAAGATAACTTCCTTGACCCCTCTTTTAAACCATCTCTGGCCAAAATCTAACAGTTTTGGTTGTCAAAGATGTGTCCTGTTATTTTTAAAGTATAAAGCAGATCATATTTAAAAGCTGTCAATAGATAGAAATTTGGTTTTGAAAGGACTGGAAACAAGTACCTTAAAGTTTCCAGTTTGCAATTTGGACTCTCTAGTCCAGCAGAAAGAATCTTCACTCCTGAATCCCCCAGGTTGTTGTTACACAGGTCCAATTCTCTGAGACTTGAGGACTGAGAGCTGAGAACTGAGGCCAAGGCTTCACAGCTTTGTTCGGAGAGGTCACAGCCACTCAATCTGAGGAGACAGGGAGAAAAACAAATGGTCAAGCAATGCATTTTTCTTAATTCAATTTTTATAATTTTCAGTTTCCCCTAGAAAGTCTAATTCATTTTATAAAAATGTTGCGATCCATTCTTGCTGATGTTGTAGTACGCCGCTCTGAAGACACACCCCTCGGCTGGAGGTTTTAAAAACCCTAGTTTCCCATATCAGCATCCTATTTTTTCCGGTGGCTCAAAGGCTAGACAAAAGCGCTTCCAGCTAAGGGCTACGCTACGTAGCAACCAAATCCCTCTGGAGAAGTCTGTGCTTGCTGGATCGAGTCAGACTGCCCTTTTCCTGCATTTCAGAAGGAGCTGAACGCAGTGTTTTTACTCTTCCACCGATTGAAACCGAGCGAATGAGGTGTATCCTGAATTCTGCTCAAGCAGAGACAGGCAGAGCTAATCCATCTCTGCTAACCACCGAACAACAGGAGCCGTTAGAAGCCACTGGACTATAACCTCCTGTGAGCAGAGGTACAGAGCAGCGCCATGGAGGTGCTGTTACAACCTCTGGCTACGTGCTAACCACCGCAGCTAGATGGGAGACTACCCGCGTGCTACCGTGAGTTATAAAATTAACCCCCTTGCAAATCGCTTCTTATTGTTACATCGGATTAATCCAAACCTCTTTGAGTTGCTTTTGGATGAACGGACTGGACCGAAGACGGGTCTGCAGAACACCAGGCCGAGCTGAAGGCCTTCACTCCACTGAACCGAACTGCATCCTTCCCCCTCCTTCATATCTGATGCTTAATAAGTGCTCTGCCTGGGTAAACTATAGGTAGAGATAGATAGTCGTGTTGTTTTTTTTAATTGAAATAAGATTTCTGATTCAACTGATGGTTAAAGGTTTAACTGAATGCTAATGCTCACTACAGATCAAACCAGTCACATGTTGGTGAAGATAACTGCTACATCGTCAGCTAACCCTCTCTTTGTTTCAGTTAGACCCGACCAGAACCAAAACCCCTGCGGCCAGCTAAGCTAGCGGGTCTTTGAGTCTCATCAGAGTTTAATGCATTCCTGAGTCATTATTCATTTTCCACCATAAACTGAATGAAACTTCACTGTTTTGACTGCAGTTAACATCTGTATTAGGGTTTATTTACATTTTTTCTCCTGCTATTATAAAGGACACTTTCAAATGCATTAAGCCTTAAACTTCGAACATCCCGGACTTTAAAGGGACTCTTAAACCCCTCTTCCCGTTTTATTTCTTTAATTTTGCTTATTTTCAGTATTGTTTAGTGTTTTGCTTAGTTATTAGATATAAGACTGTGTGATTGTAGCTAATAAATGTACCATTTTATTTTTAACCCATGATCTTTTGTGTTAAAAACACAAACCTAAAATACTATCTGTTATACTGGCTGAAGGACAGATAATACATTTGTTGCTCTTCTTCCACTAACAAGCCTTTGCACCATCACCATGTCCCTCCATACCTGAGAGTTTCCAGTCTCCAGGAAAGATCCTTGAGGCCATTTGACAGCATCTTCACTCCTGAGTCTCCAAGATCATTGTTGCTTAGGTCCAGTTCTTTAAGATAGTAGGGGTTTGAGTTCAGAGCTAAGGCTAGAGAAGCACAGCCTTCCTTTGAGATCAGACACCCTGACAAGCTGCAGAGACACAATTCAACACACATGATGTAATCATGATAAACTTGTGGTAGAATTTACATACACAACTGGAGTCCCGTTTATAAAACGTCTAAACTTTACTGAACCTACTAAAAGTGCACATATGCAAAACCTTTGAAAAAATCCAAAGAAAAATAAAAAATAAAATAAAATTTCTTTTCATAGGAGATTTCGGTTGAAACCTGATTGGACTGTTCTCCTGCTCCTCTAATCACAGATATGACACTCCAATTGAAACCCAGCTTATCTAAGCTGCATTTCAGTAATAATAACAACCACTAGCTGAGTAAAAAGCAGATACTTCAAGTAGGGCTACCCCACTCTTACCTAGTCAGACAAAAAGAATGACCAACCTTCGCTGAGTAAAAAGTATATTACACTTAGACAACTTTTATTGTCAGTTTATAGAAAAATGAAATTTTGTTTAGAACTGCTTTCTTAGACAGTAAATGAACTTTTCCATTTCATAAACTGCATCGGTGATCAAATGTAAACAGTGTGGAAGGAAAAAACATGGTCAAAAAAATGCATTAATATGGAAGTTCAGAACACTATTATATATAGTGCAAATATTCAGTATTTTTGGTTTGTTGTTATCAGTGTTATGCAGAGTCTGTAACATGATTTAGAGATTTTTAAACAGTTCAGCTGTCTGATGGCGAAGCTGAAGAAGCTGTTTCAGAACCTGCTGGAACTGCATCAGATGTTTCGAAGCCTCTTCCAAGAGAGCAGTAGGTAGAACAGTCCATGGTGGGGGTGTGAGGGGTCATTGATGCTCTCCTTATTCTCCGCAGGAAGAACAAGTTATTTTGTGCCCTTTTGACTAGTGAGGTGGTGTTTACAGTTTAGGTGAGGTTGTCTGTAATGTGCAACCCCAAGAATTTGCAGACCACTTCTACATATATTCAGTAGATCTACCCTACTCTTCCCTACTCAGATAAATATCATTTGTAACCAAACTTAACATCTCTGTATCTTTGAGATAAGGCACAGCACAAACATATAAGAATCCTTAATCAATGTAACACAGATAATGAGATTTACCATGGCAGGGCAAAAGCCTAAAAATGCATCTTTCACAGCCATCGAATTGGACACTTTGATGATGGCATATGCAGTCTGTCAACACCTAACGGGCATCATGCACCAACAAGAAAAGGAGGCATCCATTAAAGGAAAGCTCTCCTTTCCTTCTCTTTCCCTATGCCCTGAGGGTGTAGCTTCAAATTAAGATTTTAAAGGCTTCTGTACTTGTTTCCAGGGAGAATCATGTTATACGCACTACCTTGATTTGACCCTCTTATGTGCTTGTGCTCACCCTAAACTTAGAGTTGATTAGCTGCTGAGTGTTGTTACCCAATTGATATCACCTGTTCAGGAATACTTAAATCAAATTTGATTTAGTTTATTTGTATAATTCGCAAGACATGTAATCTCAACACACTTTACCAAGACAAAAGAGTTGAGTCATATAGTCAGATTGGTAAAGGATGTATGGCAAAGGAATACATCTTATTGCGTCGAGTCATTAATATATCTAGGATTGTGACCCCACAGCAGTAATTCATACCAAAAGCTGACAATTCTTTCGGTGCGCTGACACCAAAAGTGTTTTAGTTGTCAATGCATCTGATTTATATGGAAAGTCTATGCTTTCTCTTGGTGTAATTAAAATTATTTTACCGACAAATATAGTTCATATTTAAGTATGTGGTTTGTGGCCTGCCTAAACTGAGGCAAACATTGTACTAAATTTTATTTGTTAAATGACATACTAATTTCTATTAAACTGATGATTTTATTCATTAAATGTGAAGTCTAACTATAACTTTTGGTAGTGTGTCCTATCATAAGTTGGTTCTTCTTCTGTTTAAGCTCTGACAGACTTAACAGTAAGCCTCTAACATGTTTAAATTCTAATTTCTGTGTTCTCTGGCTCAGCTGGATCATAACAAGGGAATAAAATTTTACAGAATAAGCAATTACATCATCATTGGTGGCAGGTTATGAATAAATGTGTGGTTTCAACAGGGTCGAGAGCATTTACCTGAGAGTTTCTAGTTTGCAGTTTGGACTTTCCAGTCCAATAGATAGAAGCTTCATTCCAGAATCCTGCAGCTTGTTGTGACTCAGGTCCAGTTTTATGTGATTGGAGGATTGAGAGCAAAGAACTGAAGACAAAGCTTCACAGGTTCTATCTGACAGGTTAGAGTCGCTCAATCTAAGGAGAAAAGGGAGAAACATCAGCTAACAATCCAAAAACAGTTACAATTCTTTACGCTTGCCAATAATGTTCTGATTGGAAAAAATAATGAATTGTCTGATTTAAAGGACAACTGCTCATTTAAATGTTTGTTTTTCTTTATCACAAATTCCTTTTAAAATTTCCCATTATGTGAAATTAGTTTTCCTCTAGTTACCACAGTTGCCTCTGTAGGCTCTATTAGTCAGTTATTGAGAGTGGGATTCCGGTCATATTCTTTAAGGGTGGATGATACTGTTGTGTTCCTTTACTTCTTTAGTTAATTTTAATTTGCTATTTTGTACAGTTTGCATCTGCTCCATATCTGTTATTTACATCTACACTGTAATATACACATCGAAAACATGAAGTACAGTTGGTCCATGAGGACCAGAGTTAAGTATCCCTGTTTTAAACTATTTTTTCAGGTTTTATAGCCTTTTGTCCATCTGTCGGCTTTCATTACCTATTTTTTCAGAAACTGATACAAAGGAATTTTCCAAGTTTTGGACAATAAATGGCATGTCTATTCCATTCATTTGTATTTTTATCAATTCTATTATTCATGCTGCCTGTAGTGGTAATACGGATCTTTATAAATAAACTAAACCAATTTGAATTAATAAGGTCTTCATTATTAACAATTTCTCATAATGAGAAGCAATGAGGTAACAATCTTTGTACTTACAACATTTTACTGGAGGCTTTAACTACTGGCAGAAGCCTCAGGAAAACCTCCTCTGAAGCAGAGTATTTCTTCAGGTCAAACACATTGAGATCTTTGCCTGATGAGATTAAGATGAAACCCAGAGCTGACCACTGAGAAGGAGACATTTCATCTGTGGAGAGATGTCCTGAAACCAAAAAGTTTTGAATCTCCTCCACTAGAGAGCAGTCATGCAGTTCATTTAGACAGTGGAACAGATTGACATTTTTTTCTGCACACACATTCTCACTTATCTTCTCTTTGATGTACTCAATAGTTTCTGGATTGGTTTGTGAGCTACATCCTGTCTGTGTCAGCAGACCTTGTAGAAGTTTCTGATTGGTCTTCAGTGAAAGTCCCAGGAGGAAGCGGAGGAACAAGTCCAGGTCCCCATTTGGACTCTGTAAGGCCTGATCAATGGCTATCTGATAGAGAGAATTTTCTTTGGGCCCTTTAGATTTTATCTCTGCTTCTTCCAGTAGGTTGACACCAGAATTGAAGAAGGTAAGATGAACATGAAGAGCAGCCACAAACTCCTGAACAGTCAGATGGACAAAGCAAAACACCTTGTCCTGGTATAGCGCTCTCTCCTCTTTAAAAATCTGTGTGAACAATCCTGAGTACACAGAAGCAGTGGTGATGTCAATGCCACACTCTGCCAGGTCTGATTCGTAGAAAATCAGGTTTCTTTTCTGCAGCTGGTCAAAAGCTAATTTTCCCAGAGACTCAATCATCTGTATGTTCTCTGGACTCCAGTGTTGATCTGTTTCAGCTCCTTCCTCATACTTGACCTTCTTCACTTTGGTCTGAACCACCAGGAAGTGGATGTACATCTCAGTCAGAGTGTTTGGCAGCTGTCTTCCCTCTGTGGTCTCCAATACATCCTCCAGAACTGTAGCAGTGATCCAGCAGAAGACTGGGATGTGACACATGATGCGGATGCTTTTAGATGTCTTCATATGTGAGACAATCCTACTGGCCTTCTCCTGACCTCTAAATCTCTTCCTGAAGTACTCCTCCTTCTGTGACTCAGTAAACCCTCTGACCTCTGTCACCATGCCAACACACTCAGGAGGGATCCTACTGGCTGCTGCACGTCGTGTGGTTAACCAGAGGAAAGCAGAGGGAAGCAGTTTCCCCCTGATGAGGTTTGTCAGCAGAACATCCACTGAGGTGGACTCTGTAACATCCGTCAGGATCTCCTTGTTCTGGAAGTCCAGAGGAAGTCGACTCTCATCCAGACCATCAAAGATGAACAGAACCTGGAGGTTTTCAAAGCTGCATATTTCTTTGGTTTCAACAAAAAAGTGATGAACAAGTTCCACCAAGCTAAACCTTTTCTCTTTCAACACATTCAGCTCTCGGAAGGCGAAAGGAAATAAAAACTGGATGTTCTGGTTGGCTTTCCCTTCAGCCCAGTCAAGACTGAACTTCTGCGTCAATAGTGTTTTACCAATGCCAGCCACTCCCTTTGTCATCACCGTTCTGATTGGTTGATCTCTTCCGGATGGGACTTTAAAGAGGTCCTCTGTTCTGATTGTTGTTTCTGGTCTGTTTTGTTTCATGGATGCTGCTTCAATCTGTCTGACCTCATGTTCTTCATTGACCTCTCCAGTTCCTCCCTTTGTGATGAACAAATCTGTGTAGATCTGGTTTAGAAGGGTTTGGCTTCCTGCTTTAGTAATCCCCTCAAACACATACTGGAACTTCTTCTTTAGACCAGATTTGAGTTTATGTTGACAAACTGCTAAAAGATTTTCTGAATGAAACAGAAATTAAAATTAAAAAGGAACACAATCAGCTAATTTGTTTTTCACTAACTGTAATCACATCTCTATAGACATCAGTAAATGTTTGATTTATCCATCAGGTTAAATCTTTGTAAAAATCCTCTTACTGTTCTGCAGGCGATCAGCCAGCTCCTCCTGCTTCATCATCCTCAGGAAGTTTAGTATGATCTTCATTAATGCCTGCCTGTTGTTCCCACTCAGCTCTTTATCCTCACCTTCCAAAATCCCAATATCATCCTTCTGACTCTCTATGGATCCTGGCTCATGCGAACTCAGAACCTTCTGTATCTTTTTCAGCTCCTTCTTCACAAATGTGACAATATGGTCCTCCAGCAGCTGTAACAGAATATTTTAGGGAAGACACATCAGATTTAAGTAATGCAGCCAACATCAGAAAAAGGATGTACAGGTTGACAGTCCAGTTGTTGAACATTTACAGACCACAAATATGGAGTCAAGCTGGGTGTTAAGCTGCTGGGAAGATGAATCAATTTGAACATCTGAGTTCTGCAAGTCCAGTCTGTGAAAGAACCAGGAATCATTATAAGAGAATAAAAATGAACATCTAGCTTTTTCAGAGATTAGATCATCAAGTGTAGCACTGTTAAAATCTTGAAACAAAAAGGTAACTGCCCTTGTTGTTACTCGTACCAGGTGCTTGTATACTCTTATGTGTTTCTCTAAACTTTTCTCAACTACTTTAAAGTATTTAGCACTTATTTGAATCAATTTCTGAATATTCCTTATACCATGTTTAGTAGACTAAATAATCAAATTTTCAAAAAAATATTTAAGATCCAGAGTAAGCAAATTTACCTTTTGGCAAATTGTTTGTTATATGAGCGTATTTTACATTAGATCCTGTTTTTTAGGTGGAGAAAGGACATACCCATGCTTTTCCAAAAAGATGTCTGTATAGGTAATGTTCCTCATTTCACAATGAGGGACATTGCAAAGCTCACAAAGAAATATAAACAAAAAATATTGAAAAATTGTATCTTATCTTATAATTCACTGTTTCAGCTTAGACAATGACAAACATTATTACCGCAGTATAAGATTTACATTTATCTGACACAATGAGAAGCCCTAAATATGAAGCCCAAAGATGCAACATAACTGTCTACATTATGTGTGGTAATACAGATATACTGTAGGCTACTGAATGAACAGTATACTATGTAGCCCACAATTGTCCCATTTAGCAGGGTTGGGGGAACTGGTGCCTGAGGAGAATTTGAGAATAAGGTTTGTAAAACATCTAAGCTTTTAAATATGGTACTTTTCCATTGCTGTCTATTCATTGTTACCTGCTGCGGCCTCCAGCAACCAGCTGTTCTCACCACCTAACCTAGCATGACTAGAGAAGCCTCCACTGAAGAATAGAGAAGTGCAAGAAGCCAGCAGGGGAGTCCAGAGGCTGGTTGACTCTGGGAGCAGACCAGCTCCAGCGGAGCTACAGTACCGGATGGTCTGGCCTTGGAACCAGACACACAGGGAAGCCATCTGGCATCTACCCTTAGAACACCACTTTATGTACCTTTTCTACAGCTTTTACTTGCATTTCCTTTAAAAACTGAAGGCTAAATTGAACAACTTAGCTAGACGGCTCCTTCAGCAGCTACATAAAGTTCTAAAACCAAAAGCCTTCTATGATACAACTGCTAGGCTTTTCTTTTCTAAGCTTCAAAACTTTGTGCACTTTGTTTACTGTCAAGTGGTCAACATTGGAAGGCTACATTTACAAAACGTAGCTACACTCCAACTTCCACAATTACATTTAACTATAATCATCTGACTAATCATCAGGTCATTAGTCCTGGAATTCTAATTTAGGACTAGCTATGAGGTAGAGTGGACACAGTCCTGCTTGGACGGCACTGACTGTGCAAACAACCTAGGAACTTAAACAGGAACTACATCTAAAATTTAGATCAATAACATCAGACCAAACGCATTCCAGCCTATGACTCAAACCATGACAATGAAGACTTATTGTTGAGGTGAACTGTAAGCGGACAACTCCACCCAGTTAAGGGAAAGAGGACAAGGAAAGCCACCACACTGATAAAGAAATACGGACAGATAAACCCAAACAAGGATCCTCAGAGATCCAACTATACTCATTACATATACATCCACCAACCACCTCTCTTATAAGGAAAAGATAAATATGGACAAAGACAGCCACCACACTCATAAATAAATAAGGGCAGATAACCCCAAACAAGGATCCTCAGAGATCCAACTACACTCACAACATAAGCATACACTTCTGACAAACACAATTTTTTTATTTTTTTTATGGCCCACCTCACTGTGGACCTTACCAGTGCTGGGTTAGCCCATGGGGATGAGAAACCCAGGTAGTGACTACCGACATTATATTGTACCTTCCCTTTTAACAAGCCCAGGCTATCGTGATCTTGGCACTAATGACTGGCTTAATTTCTAATTTCATTCACTTGTCTAACTCTGCCTGCTTTCTCATTACTGCTTATCTGATCTACCTGCTCCTGCCTCTATTTAAGCCGCCTGCTACCATTTATCAGTGTCAGATTATTTCTGTTGAGCCAGAATTGTCCAACTACTATGCTGAAAATAGTTGAAGTGAGTTAAAAGACTGAACTTTAGTTTTTCGGCTGAGCATTAGAGCTATTTCGTTAGCCTTGTTAACTCTTAATGGCTATTTGTTTCTTTGAAGTTAATCCCGTTCTCCGAGAGCAATCTCGCATTGAGATTGCTCAGATTGTTAATCCGTTTCATCTGCTTTGGTGTTAATGAATTTAAGAACAGGTGCCCTAGAGGGGCAACAACGAGATAACTATCAAACTGACTCTTTTTAACCAGTTTTGCATTTGGCTAGGGTCACTGTTACTACTGTTAGCATGAGGCGCTACCTGGACCCTACAGAGGTTGCACAGGCAGTCCAACTCCTCCAGGATGGCACATCAATACGTGCCATTGCCAGAAGGTTTGCTTTGTCTCCCAGTACAATCTCAAGAGCATGGAGGAGATTGCAGAAGACAGGAAGTTACTCCAGGAGACCTGGACAGGGCCGTATAAGGTCTACAACCCATCAGCAGGACCAGTATCTGCTCCTTTGTGCAAGGAGGAGCAGGAGGAGCACCGCCATAGCCCTAAAAAATGACCTCCAGCAGGCCACTGGCGTGAATGTTTCTGATCAAACAATCAGAAACAAACTTCAAAAGGGTGGCCTGAGGGCCCAACGTCCTCTAGTGGGCCCTGTGCTCACTGCCGGGCACCGTCGAGCTTGATTGGCATTTGCCACAGAACACCGGATTTGGCAAGTGCACCACTGGCGCCCTGTGCTTTTCACAGATGAGAGCAGGTTCACCTTGAGCAGATGCGACAGATGTGAAAGAGTCTGGAGAAGCTGTGGAGAACGTTATGCTGCCTGTAACATTGTTCAGCATGACCGGTTTTGTGGTGGGTCAGTGATGCAGTGATGGTCTGGAGAGGCATATCCATGGAGGGAGGCACAGACCTATGCAGGCTAGACAATGGCACCCTGACTGCCATTAGGTATTGGGATGAAATCCTTACACCCATTGTCAGACCCTATGCTGGTGCAGTGGGTCCTAGGTTCCTACTGGTGCACAACAATGCCCGGCCTCATGTGGCGAGAGTATGCAGGCAGTTCCTGGAGGATGAAGGAATCTATACCATCAATTGGCCCCCGCCTCAGCTAAATCCAATGGAGCGCCTCTGGGACATTATGTTTCGATCCATCCGACGCCGCCAGGTTGAACCTTAGACTGTCCAGGTGCTCAAGGATCCCCTGGTCCAGATCTGAGAGGAGATACCCCAGGACGCCATCCGACGTCTCATTAGGAGGATGCCCCGACGTTGTCAGGCAAGCATACACGCACGTTGGGGCCATACAAATTACTGAATACCATTTTGAGTTGCTGCAATGAAATTTCAGCAAAATGGACTAGCATCATTTTTTCACTGTAATTTTTGGGGTGTCTTTGAATTCAGCCCTCTGTAGGTTAAACATTTTCATTTCCATCAAATGATGTGGCATCCTTTTGTTCCAAACATATCACCCAGTCCATATCAGTATAAACAGCATGATTTTTTTCCCCATTGAGATCTGATGTGTTTCTAAAGTGTTCCTTTAATTTTTATGAGCAGTGTATATATATATATATATATATATATATATATATATATATATATATATATATATATATATATATATATATATATATATATATATATATATATATATATATATATATATATACTTGTTTGACAAGATCTATGCTTTTTATTGTCTCCCACACACACTAACTGCAGCAGATTTACCAGTCTCCATGTCTGCATACTGCCCTTTGCATGAGTCAGGAGACAAACACCCTTTCGACACATAGGCTCCCAAGAGTCAGAACAAGAACCAGGGACCTAACTAAAACTCAAAAACAAACAAACATTAATAACCAACATGAAAAAATAGGGTTAATTATCTGGACCGAATAACTGGACTGAACTGGAGTATATAAAACCGACCGAACAGGTAAATAGCATGAATGATAATTAGAGTGTGGGAAGGGAACCAAAGATGAATGTAGTGAGTAATCAGAGCAGTTATTAGGGCTGCGATCATGACAAAGATATGTAGTGTAAAAAAAAAAACTTGTTTTTTATTATTGCATGTTAAAATGTTGCAGGGAATTTGAAGATGAATTCTATAAGTTAAATAAGCTCTGGATTAAAAATGATAATAAAGGATACATTTTTGGTAGTATTTTGATCCTGCCAAGAGATAAATATAAATATCAGACTGATAATGGTGAAAAACAGTCTGAATAAAAGTAATTTTCAGTAATATTTTAAAAAGTACAGTTTGACATTTGATTAGGCTGTGCATTAATTGAATCCAAGGGGACCTAAAATATTGTAAAAGTTACAAAAACAAAAAAAGACAAATATAATAACATCTTATAATTTAATTTTAATGGGGTTACTGGAAGCTTTATGCATATGTAACTCATTTACTGCCTGCAGGAATGGAGCCCCTCTTGACTCCCCCTCGGTCCTTTGGGGAAGGGAAAGAGAGACTCACTCCCCCACTCCTTGCTGAAGGAGGCTGTAAACTCATAGTAACTAGTAAGTAAGTTTAAAGGACACTGATGATTTAATATCAATAAGAAATGTAGCTCTTGAACATTTTTTGGAATTGCTTTCACTTTACATAATTGTGATGTCTGGGGCAGGACAAAAAGAGTCCTGCCTGATGTCTCTCTCGTCTGACCACTTTGAATTGTGAATTCTAATTTATTTATGCAACCCTTTTTGCTGAGGCAGGCATGAAGTTATTTCCTCTAAGTTTTTTTTTCTTTCTGTGACATGATAAGAAGTTGTGAAAAATGTAATGAAAACACAGTTTGGATGATGTTTACAAGGTAAAAGTGTAGCTTCGACTTTAAATTCAAAAATAATTTCTCTTCAGACATTATTTTCTGGGACAGGAACATGGAGTTTAATTTCATTAGTCGGTCAGTAGACCTGGTGAATTTCATAATTGAAAAAAAAAACATCAGAGCAAGCTTGAGTCCCAATATTTATTTGACTCAAATGAGAGAAATTTGTTCAAACATTTACAGTTTTGATAAAGCTCACCTGTCTGAGGATGGAGGTCCAGAAGATTTAAAGTCAGGGGGCAGAGGCCTTGATCGATCACTCTTGAAGGACACATTGCTTAGTTCTTGATCAAATTTAAATGTCTGTTGGGTCCTGACACAAAAAAGAAAAAAATAATCTAATCTGAGATATAGTCCAAGGAATTAAAAACAGACAAACTAAAACATCACAACCTTTTAAAATAGTAGAGAGAGGATCAGGTGGGCTCTTAGCAAAGATAGCCGCTTGAAAAGATGATCCATTACCCCAAGCCAAATATATTTATATCGTTACTTTAGTCCGCCCATTTTTGTTGAAAGGACTGTATTTTGGGTGAGAATAACATTTCCAAAGCTAAACTGATTTTAATACCAATGCCTGGATGTGGTACTAGAAAGATTCAACACCCCGGTCCCCTGCCCGAGCAACAGGCTAAAATTAACAAGAAGATGGATACGTATGTTAGCAAAGGCCTGATTGAGCCACAGCAGGCCAATGCTAATGCTACATCCATTGCTACAACAAGTGCCGCAGCCAAGGTTAAAGGGATAATAACGCTAGAGTTTTTGGTCCCTTACATACAAGCAATATGTGACTCAATTGCGAACATTGAACAGACAATGAGAGATATTAAATCGTAAATAGGGGAAATCAAGGTGAAGCTTAGAACACTGCCATCACGTGTGATGACATGGAGGAGAGAGTGGTTGTGCAGGAAGAAAGCAGAGGACCATTGGAGACTGAGCTAAGGACTGAGGAATAAGAAAGAGTGAGAGCCCATTTGGAAAGTTTGGACAATAGAGGAAGTAATATTTAAAATATGAGTCCAAGGAAGGCAAAGGCATGATAAAGTTCCTGCAGCATGAGCTTACAGTAATGCTGGGCCACTCGCTTGGGGAGCTGGTGATACAGCGCATGCATTGAGTGGGTACGGCTAGACAAGGGGTCGGCAACCCACGGCTCCGGAGCCGCATGCGGCTAATTAGCATCCCCCCTGCGGCTCCCTGGAGCTTTTTAAAAAATGTATGAAAATCGATTTTTTTTTTTGTATGGTTTGCAGGAGGTCAATCAAAAATGTATTATGTTTTTCAATGCTGTAAACATTTGTATAATAAATATATTTAAACAATAATTTGCCTCACAGCCATAGATATCAGTGGTCATCACTTGCAACCAGCGTGGCGTGGTGCCAGGCAAACAAAGCGGTGGGTGTGTCTCAGACCATGGATCCCAAACAGAAAAAAAGAAGATAGCTAATGAGGAAAGAGGTTTCAAAGAATGGACCAAATCATTTGGTCTTGGTCTTTCATGATCATTTTTGCTTTTTTAATGAGAGGTTGTCAAAAAATAAAAAGAAACATTTGGAAAGGCATTTCCAGGGAAGGCTAAATATGCAGCCGACCACCAAGTTGGGAGTTAGAGAAAAAGTATGATTGCAGAACTTCTGGATAAATTAGAAGAGCGCAAAGTTGGATTTAAGAAGTGGATTGCATCTCCAAACTCCACTACTGCTGCTAGTTTTGCTGTAAGGATGGAAAACCATCCACAGATCAAACAGGTAGCGCTTTGATGCAGGTATCTGAACTTTCTTCCATTTTTTCCCCCAAATCCTAAAAATATAAATCAAACCAAGGAACGATGGTGACGGAGGATGTGGGATTTCAGGGTTAGAGAGCTCTGCTCCGAAGGATGTCAGTTCCTGCTTGGTTCCACATGACTCAGTCAACTCCACCCAACAGAAACACGTTCACCATAGATCCTCTTTATTGTGTTTCTATAATTTCATCAATGCAACAGAACCTAAACCGTGCAGTGAAGGGCTGTAAATTCTATGCTGTGCGAGCGTTCACTGTTCCTCCCTCACTGCTATGTGACATTTGCTCCAGGATTAACATTTAACAATAAATGCTTATTATATATTTAAGCCCCCATAGTCCTTTTCTATAGTGGGATAATACACTTAGAGCCTGTGTTGCCATACATATTTTTTGTCTTTAAAAATAATTATTCAGTTCAGTTCTTTTCTTTTAATTTCACCCATTCTGGAGTGTGTATGTCGCCCCATCCTATCTCAGAGGGGACTTGTGTCATTTTATACAAACCAAGTGGGGACTTTCAACAACTGAATTATAAAAAATGCCACACATTTAAAAAGGTGCTCTGCCGATAATGCAAACGTAGAAGAAGAAATGTGCTGTTTACCTGTGCAAAGAAAGAAACAACGAAAGAAAAATGTCTGAGGACTTCAGTGTTGAGGAAGAGCATGAGTTCGTTGCCGAGCTGAATGCGCACTTTCATCTGGTTTGGTCTGCCGCGGTTTCCGTAGACTCATGAACGCGCTTTTAGGAAATCCTATACACTACTGTTTATGCTCTAAAAACATTCTAAACGACTTCGTTTCGAGTAAATTCTGGATGCTACCCACTCAGGACACTTGGAATACATTGGACGAGCAGTATGGAGGAATATTGACACGTTTTTTGTGGACTTTTATGGACCTTTCTGCCTCGGGCGCCATAGACCTCCATTATTTGAATGTCAGCAGACAGCAAGAAGCCTCCCAGATCTCCAGATGCATTTGAGATATCAAAAAAGTACTCCAGAGTGTTGTTCAGCATGGGGGTGAGTAGAAAATGAAGGCTAATCATGTTTTGGGTGTACTTTTCCTTTGATTTGACTGTATGATCTGGTTGAACTGTAAAGTGCCTTGAGATGACATGTGTTGTGAATTTGGCGCCATATAAATAAACTGAATTGAATTGAAAAGTACCTGTTGAAATAATATTTCAGAATGACTTATTTTCCTAAGTTAGAGCAGTTGGATGCAACTCACCTCTCTGAAGTTAAAGGTTCAGAAGATGAACGAATGGTCCTGGAGGACAAGGGGCTGGGATCTGATTGTGATGTGAGTGCTTCATACATCCTGACAGTAAAAAAATATAAAAAACACATTTCTGTTAGCTTCTACCTACATCCCTTATAGCATTTATAATATGGACACATATGTGCAAGAACCAGGCTAAATTCTGGCACCCAAATGTGAAAGTCTACAAGATAAAAAACAGCTCCATGTTAATTGTCTATTTAGTTTTGATGCAGAAAAACTGTGTAGGAACTGAAATAACATGAGTAACAAAGATTCTGCTACATTTAAGCTAATTTTCTTAAAACCAATTTGAGACCCAATCAATGCCTACATAGCGTGACTAGTTAGTTCCATTAATCTGGGTTGTATATTGATTAAAAATCAATAAAGAGATTCTTTCATATTTGGTGATTATCCATCCTTCATTCTAGAATGAATAATGTTGAATGTTGATCGTCACAATCCAGGAAATGTGTTGGAAGCTGGTGAGTTTTTCCACATATGTCATGTTGGAACCAAGAGCTCTAACCAACAGGCTGGTGTCATTCTGCTGTTTTTGCAGCACTGACTTGCTGTTGGTGAGAACCTACAAATGCCAAGCTGAGCTGCCTCAGTTCAGTCTGGATGAAGCAACCAAAATGAACAGCAACAGCTTTATAACCACATCTGTTTTGGTCTGATATATATGGACTATTAGAGATTGAGAGCTTACCTCTGAGCTTTGCTCTGGCTTTTATGTTCCCCACATAGAGTAGTTGTAGAGGGAGGGAGTCCCTCCCCCCTGTCCCCACCTGGATCCATCCTGTTGAATTCACAACCGAGTCAGATCCCACATTCACCTGCAAAAGAAAGATTAAGAAAAAAAAAGAGCAAGAAAAACCAAGAAATCAATAATAAGGTAATAAAACGACAGTAATAATAATAAATAACAATAATATACGAATTAAGAAAATAATAATAATAGAGGGATATTCATACGTAGATTAAATTTATTTTTAACTGCTTATTCAAGAGTACATGAGAAGATATGGGTCTTAATGAAGGAAAAAATCCAATTAAATTCATAGGACCTCTCTGGGACACATTATATTGATGGTGGGATGTGTGGGAAAAAGGGTAAATATAAGGTGTGATTATCAGTGAGTCTAGTATGTCAGATTTAACATTATAAGTAAAAGTAATGCAATTTAGCAATTTATTAATAAGGTTGTAGGTACACTTAATAATAATAATAATAATAATAATAATAATAATAATAATAATACATTTTATTTAAAAAGGCGCCTTTCTGGACACTCAAGGTCACCGTACAAAAACATAAAAAGTGTCAGAAAAAATAAAAATAATAATTATAAAGACATTTAAAAACATTTAAAAAATACAGAGGCTGTGACAGTGAAATTGATATTTTCAAAGAGAATAAGCAATCTTGAACAGATGGGTTTTGAGTTGCATTTTAAAATGGAGAATTGAGTCCGTATTTCTAAGTTGGGGTGGTAGAGAGTTCCAGAGGCGGGGGGCAGAGCGGCTGAATGCTCTGCTCCCCATGGTGGTGAGACGGGCGGAGGGGACAGAGAGGTGCAAAGCAGATGAGGATCTAAGAGCACGGGAGGGGGTGGGAACATGCAGGAGGTCTGACAGATATGGGGGGGCAAGGTGGTGAAGTGCCTTGAAAGTCATCATGATAATTTTATATTGAATGCGGAACTGTATGGGGAGCCAGTGGAGCTGTCGGAGGACCGGAGTGATGTGGTGGATAGAGGGAGTTCTTGTTATGATTCCAGCAGCTGAGTTCTGGACCAGTTGTAGTTTGTGGAGTGATTTCTGAGGAAGTCCAAAGAGGAGAGAGTTGCAGTAATCTAGTCGGGAGGTGACAAGGCTGTGCACAAGTATGGCAGTAGTGTGTGGGGTAAGGGAGGGACGGAGGCGGTTGATGTTTCTTAAGTGGAAGTAGGCAGACCGGGTAATGTTATTTATATGGGATTGGAAAGATAGTGTGCTATTGAGGATGACACCCAGACTCTTAACCTGGGGGGAGGGGGAGATGGAGGAGCTATCGATAGTGACTTGGAAACTGTCGGTTTTGGAAAGAGTTGATTTGGTGCCAATGAGGAGAACCTCGGTTTTACTACTGTTTAATTGAAGGAAGTTGTTGGTGAACCAGGCCTTTAATTCACAGATGCAATTTGTGAGGGAGGCGGGCGGAAGAGAGGACGATGGCTGCATGGTGAGGTAGAGCTGGGTGTCATCGGCATAGCAATGGAAGTGGATATTGAATTTACGGAAGATATTGCCAAGGGGAAGGAGGTAGATGAAGAAGAGCAGGGGCCCCAGAACAGAGCCCTGGGGCACACCTGAGGTGATGGGGGAGGGGGTGGATTTGAGGGTCTTCAGTTGAATGAACTGAGTGCGGTCAGAAAAATAAGAAATAAACGCCCTTTATGACGTCATGGGGGGAAAACACTCCTGCATCTGATCTCCCCTCTCTAACAGGCACTATGTATCTTTCTGCAAACTGACTCCACGCAGACATGGCTAAGCTATGAGCTAAGCACGACAGGTGCTCTGTTAACGGCCTCATCAATGAGAAAGAAATATTTTAAGGACTGGTGTTTTGTCTTCAAACCAGTGAGTAACACTTAATTCATATGTGTTTTGTTTCATTTCATTAATTCATCCTTTTGTTGGGAGCTGGAGAAGTACCACCTTCCTCCAGCAGAGTCCGCCGTGGATCCTCCTGAGTCGAGCCTCCTGCACAGCTGGAGCTCATTCCATCATCAGAGGATCCACAGTACTTAAGCTGTCTTCAGACCTTGCCTCAACGCCGCAGTGTTGATCCAGTTGGTTAGCACCTAAGCCTAGTATCTCTTAGAACCTTTGTTGACTTTTGAATCCAGACTGGATTCTAACCTTTGTCTCTGTTTTCCAGGAAACCTGTTTTTCTCCTGTGAAGCTCAGGAAGAGCTTAACCTGCCGAGCCTACCCTCTGAGCCAAACCTGAAGTCTCTCTCTGGATTCCCATGCAGCTCTGGACTAAGAGCTGGAAACTCAAAGCCAAGGTCAGCTCACTCTCAAGAAGTAAGACGCTGAAGCAGTTAACGGACTCTGCTGAACAAACTATCTCCGGACCCAACAGTTTCCCTCTCAAGGCTTTAACCAAGAACCCTCAAGGTACAAATCTGAAACTGTCTGAATCAAACTCCTCTGAGCAAACGCTAACTGAACTGTCTCCCACGCAGACTCCAGTGAACCAGTTCCCCAGGCCTGAACCAGAACCAGTGGTTAACTCTGTGCTTGTAACAATAAACATTGTTAAACCTTTTACTTCTGTTTCCGTCTCCGTGGTGTTCTGCATAACTGGGTCTCACTTGTGAACCCATCATGACACCTTTAAGGATTTCAGTTTCCAATCCTTCTCAGTATCAACCACCTTGGATGACTGACTCGATCATGGTATTGCAGAGCTCATGTGTATGGCATAGACCTATGAAAAGTCAACTGTTTGGAGGGGGAAATCTTGGGGTGTGGTAAAATAAGTCAACAGAGGCCGAGGTGTTAAGAAGCTTCCTTGCCAGGAAAAGACAGGCTTGGTATCCACCAACCGGGTTATGTTAACTGCGCACCAACTCCTTTACTATATAGACATGTTTCTTTCTGTAAAGGTTGCCATTCAGACTGTTTTAAGAGTGCCTGTGAGCATCTGCTCATTTAAAAAGTCTTTAAGCGCACAGCCTCAGCTCCACACCTTGTTGCTTCAAACAGTGGGTCAGCAAAGGCCACACATTTCCCCCAAATATAGGGTCCTAAAGACGTCCCTATCATCTACGTAGGAATACTTAAAATTTTGCCGTTCAACATCTAATAAATAAGTCTTTTGTAAAGTTGTTACTCTCTTGTTATATTGCTACCTGGCATAATGATAATGCTATTTGGACTAATCTTCATATTTATTTAAAATGTGTACAGATATTGTTGACCACAACTGTCCCAAAGCAACCAAGGGAAATCTTCAGTTTAGTTTTCAATTTAGCAAATATGGAATAATTCATATGAAATTAAGATGTCTCTTGCATTAGAGTAGAAGGACTAGAGGGAAAAGTACTAAGAAATAAAATGTTTTAATTATTGTTTTATAGTTTTCAAGGTAAGATCAATTCATTATCATGTTGTCATTCATTTTCTATGACAATCTAATGCTACATTCACAGCACACGTGATGGAAGCAGCAAAAACAGCTGATTTACATGCAAAGTCAATGGCTGACGTGCGTCAAGGTGCAGCAAAAGGTCCTGCAGCTCATTTCGAGCACCAGGAGCAGCGCATTTTGACTCATCTGAGCAGCCGAAGCAGCGCCTCATGAGCTTCTGAGCATCTGAGGCGTTTGACATCCTTTATAAGCTGCAGCTGCTGGAAAAACTGAACTTGTGCTGCTTGACGTGCCAGATCAACCAATTAGAGGAGCTGATCTGGGAGCTGGCGGGGAGACAGACACAGCACTGCTGATGCAGAGAACTAGGATCACTCCTCTGAAACAGTTTATTATTGCCTGAAATTTACATAAAATGTCGAAACCTTTTATGGTTCTGGTGTGTTCAGTTTGGATTACATACATGAAAACCACTAATATATCCTTCCAGCTGTCGAAAATAGTTGCAGAAAACTGCCAAGAGGCAACCAGGCCAGAGGCTGCAATTGAAGGGGATTTCCCATGACGGAGCACCACCGGTGTATGGAGGTTTTGTGCTAGTCCGACAGCAAAATAATATTTGAAGGCAGGATCGTAATCTTGATTAACTGACTGCACATGTGATGTTTAAGAGGTGGACTTTCTCTCTTAATATAGCAAAGCCACTCTCTGTCATTGAACACAGGAGCAGCAGAAGCACCAGACACATCTGTACACACTTTAGTGGATGCACTTCAGGAGCATCGAGGATTCTCTTGCGGCGTGGCGGACCCTAATGTGTACAAGCATAAAAAATGAAGCAGCAGGTGTTTTTTGCTGCTTCTATCTATAATAGCCTCAGAAGCTAGGACCCAATATTCATACAGTTTTCAACTCGCTTTTTTTTTTTTACAGATTTATACAGCAAGCAGCTGCTCATCAGCTGGGTGGATAACTGGATTCTGGAGCTATCTCTATAGTTAAGCTTCTATAGGCTTAGACTGCTGGATGACATGTGGACAGCTTTTGATCATGCCGCTTCATTCTATCTATATTCTCCCATTCTGCAGTATTTATTACTTCAATCTCTAACATTATGATCTCTCTGCTTTTTCTCATAGTAGCTTCATCTGGTCTGTTCTTGTTTGGTTGTAACACCATCCTGGAGAGAAATAGCAGCTGTGCTACTGCCATCAACACCTTTGCTTATACATGTTGGAGCTTGGCCTTTTGTCATTGTAGTCCTGTTTCTCTGACAGAGCCTGTGTATGTGCTCTGCTTTATGCTCTAACATGGGAGCTGTCTTGGAGCTCATCTGCCTGGCTGTGTGTTTACTGGATGGGCTGCCTGTAGAACTGGTTGACAGTTACCTTTTTTTTTTTTATCTCTGCTTCTTTTTCTATGTCTGCTTCTGTCTCCTTGAACCCCAGTTGGCATCGACAGATGGCTGCTCACACTGAGACTGTTTCTGGTGGAGGTTTCTTCCTATCAAATGGGAGGTTTCCTCTCTACTGTTGGTACAGGCATGCTTGATGTGAGGAATTGCCTTCAAGTCAATAATTCAATGCAATCAGCTGGTTTTCCTTCGATAGAAAACTTTGAACCAATCTGATTTTATGATCTGGTTTGATTGTCTCTGTAGTGCCTTGAGATGGTGTGTTGTTAATTGAAGCTATATAAATAAACTGAACTGAATTACTGTATGAAGACAAATAAATAGAACTCCAGCTTAGCTATAGCCCCTGTGTGGGCTAAAGCTAAACACTTTGAGGCTGTTACATTTGTGAAATGTCTGCTGTTGAGGTGCTGTTGTATTTTGTTTGTGTAAGCAAAAACAAACAAATCAACTTTGATACAAAACTTTCACACAAAGGTTATGTATTCTATTTCTTCACATTTAGTTGAGAGACTACAATTCGTAAGAAAATACATAGTTATGAATTTAAATATCTAAATACATAAAAGGCTTTAAAATCAGTATTGCAGAAGTGGAATGTACCAGATGTGTTTACAGTTATCCTTGCATTTCCATGACAAAGCAGAAAAGGGAGAAGAGGAAGTGACCCACTGCTTTCAAGAGTAGTTTTGACTTGAATAAATTATCCCTACTCTTAAAATGTCTGGTTACTTGACTTATTATAAGTAACTTTACTCAACAATTAGCTTGTTTAAAACAAAAGTGCACCACAGAAAGGTTTTAATTTATTAATTTTTCCTTTCGTTTTATATCATTTATAGAATTTTCTCTTTGAAAAGATCTGTTTTCACTCGCCCTTTAATTTTCTTCATCTTGAATCTTGCTGAAAAAAGAGAGCGACGGAGTTTCAATTCCCACCTCTGTGAGAGCTTTGAACACGTTCTAAAAAAGGTGGGGGACATTGAGTCTGAGTGGACCATGTTCCGTGCCTCTATTGTTCAGGTGGCTAGTCAGAGTTGTAGCCGCAAGGTTGTCGGTCGGTGCATGTCGCGGTGACAACCCTCAATTACACAGTTGGTCACCAGCAGTGAGGGAAGCTGTCAAGCTGAAGAAGGATTCCTATCAGGCTTTATTGACCTGTGGCCCTCCAGAAGTAGCTGATGTGTACCGGCAGTCAAAGCGGCAGGTGGCTCAGCTGGTAGCTGAGGCATGGAAAGAGTTAGGAGAGGCTATGGATAGAGCCTTGTGAAAGACTGTGGCTTCGAAAAAATTCAGGTAACAATTTAGCGTCTCAGGAGGGGGGAGCGGTGCAGTACAACCAGTATTTATAGTGGGCGTGGTGTGCTGCTCACCTCAAATCAGGACTTTATGTGTCAATGGGTGGAGTACTTTGAACTCCTCCTTAATCCAGCCAACACTTCTTCCATTGGGAAAGCAGGACCTGGGGTCTCCAGGATGGGTTCTCCCATCTCTGGTGCTGAGGTCACTGAGGTGGTTAAAGAGCTCCTCGGTGGGAAGGCCCCAGGGGTCGATGAGATTCGCCCTGAGTACCTTAAGGCTCTGAATGTTTTGCGGCTGTGTTGGTTAGCTCAACTCTGCAGTATTGCGTTTGACATCGAAGGCAGTTCCCCTGGATTGACAGACTGGGGTGGTGGTCCCCCATCCGGAGGGTGTGTTCCAAGTACAGATGAATCACACTCACGGTTTCACACTCAATATGGAGTAACAGACTACAAGTGTTGGGGGGGAAAGTGACAGTGGTCAGCAGTGTGAAAAGTGTGGGTGTCAACCATGGTTGCGACATTCTGAATGAAACATACTTTTATACTGATTAAATTTTATACTGAAATAACTCATCGGCAGGAGGAATCTGTTGTCTCAATGGAATGTATGGATGTTTAGCTCTAGTAAATAAAAACCTGATGCAGTTTGGTCAGGCAAAAGAAGAAAGCAAGAAAATATGCAATCATTATCATATTTGAGGGCTGCACAGTGCAGCAGTGGGCAACACTGTTGCCTTACAGCAAGAAGGTGGTGGGTTAAATTCCTGGCCCAGGGTCTTTCTGCAAGGATTTTACATGTTCTTCTCGTGCTTGCGTGGGTTCTCTTTGGGTACTCTGGCTTCCTCTCAGAGCCCAAAAACATGAATGTTACATTAAATGGCTTCTCTAAATTCTCCTTGGTGTGAGTGTGTTGATAGTTCTGTGTCATTGTTTGTCTCTCTGTTGCCCTGTAACAGACTGGTAATATGTCAGGGGTGTACGCTGCCTGTCATCCATAGACTTCCGGAGATAGGGACCGGCCCCACCGCAAACCCTGACAACGACTAAGCAGGAGAATATGGATGGATGGATAATTAGGTAAAATTTCAGTTCAATATTAATTTATTGTTCAATGCTATCATCAAGTTTGCAGATGACACCATGGCGATCAGACTCATCATAGACAATGAAGAGGCTGCCTACAGGGGAGGAGGTGGACAGGCTGGCTGAGTGGTGCAACACAAACAACCTGCAGCTGGACACTGAAAATACCAAGGAGCTCATCATGGACTTCAGCTTCAACCCTCACAAATCCAGTTTGTGTGGGTTGTGTGTTTGTGTTTTTTCCCTCCACCACCAGGTGGTGCCCGGTTCTCATTGGCCCTTCCACACACCTGCGGATGGTTGCCTCATTATCTGAGGACTCTTAAGCTGCTGACTGCCACTACCTCGATGCCAGAGTGTTTGACAGTTTTGGGTACTCTAGCCAAGCTGAGTCTAGCAGAGTCTAACTCAATTTTTTTTGCTTCCTCGAGCCTAACCTTATTGTCTTTGTCTTTGCCTCTCGGCAGGAAGTCATCCAGCTAACTGGACGTTTTGGCCTCCTCCCTCTGAAAGGATTGTTTGAGCTTCACACAGAGCAGGGGATAAATCTCCACACGAACCGTTCAAGTACTTCTGGAAATTTAAGTGGCAGTCAGCTCCATCGCTCCTCAGAAACCAACCAAACCACAGTGAACCCTGTCCGCCCTCCAACGAGTCAACCAAGTTCAGTACTAACCTACACCGACTGGATTCTGGGAAGGACACCTTTTCTCCGGAAACGTGAGTCCCATTTCAGTCTCTGTCTTTGCAAGTTGCCGCTCAAGTTTCCCACTGAGGCTGAACTAAACACTGAACTTCCCTTCTCACTTCCTGTTCCCGTCCACCAGCGTTCTGAGAAACACTGGATCCAACTCATCGTGTTTTCAATAAATCTGCTAAAGCTTTTCTCTGGTTCTCTGAGTTGTTTCTTGCATGTGGGTCAAATCCCTTAAAAAGATCATGACACCCCCTAAGAGCCATTACAGAAGCCTACGGACTAGAACCCCCAGTCACCAGAACAATTTCTTCCCCACAGCACTCATGCTGCTGAACGCCTCCTGACACCAACTATAAGGACTGCCCCAACAATAAAATGTGGATTGTGCTCATCCAGTGATCCAACTCCACTTACACGCACTTTTCAACTATAGCTGTATATAATCTGCAAATCTTTTATCTGCTGTTATCTCTCATTATGTATACTGTATAATAACCCCACTAATATATACATAAAAGCCATATCCCAACATTGCTGTATAATCAGTATATAGTTTTCATATTTATTTCTTTTATAGCCTTTTACAATTACTCTCTGTTTATATATACGGTACTATTTATAGTCGATACATACATAGTATCTGTGCTCATGTAAATAAATATTTTTATCCTGTATAGCACTTCTGGATAGATGCAAACCACATTTCATTGCTTTGTACTTTTGACAGTGTGAAGTCAATGAAGTTGAAATCTATTCTATTCTGAGTCTTCAAACAGCAGAGATTAAATGGTGTACTTGAATATGAAGTGAGCTTGCCGTTCAAGTATTAGAAAGCAGAAACAAACAGTAAATATCCTCAAGTCAAGGTTCTAGAAGGAAACAAAGCAAACTTACAGTTTGATGAAATGGTCCAAAGGGTTGAAAAACGAGATCTGAACAACAGACTGAGTCTAAACAAAACTGGAATAGACCTGGAGTGTTTTCTGTCTGAACAAGAACAGATCAAAGTGAAAGTCAAAATAAAAATGCACTGCTGTTATACAGTACTGATTTCTTTACAGTTTCTGTTCCCTTCTATCGGATCTATGGAGGAACAAAGAAAATGAAATTAAATTTTTTTGGATGTTGCAGTATCTATAACAACACAAACACACATGATTTCAGAATTAGACATCCCAAGTTATTAATTTCATACACTCACCAGATCTGAATGCCCTGTTAAAAAACTTCACACCCATGAGTAGAGGTAATGCAGCCTGAAGATATTTACACCGCATCAGATACCGTTCCCTCATGTTAGGCAGGGGGGAACGCTATCTGTTGGGGTTAATAGGCCCGTCAGATAGCGTTCCCCCCTGATGTTTTTTTACATTGAGTTGCAATAAATGCAAAACTCTCTGCAGGTACTTGTCTTTGTCGTCCGCTCTATTAAGCTGGCTTTGGAAACACAAAGCGAGAAGGTGGGGGGCAGGTTACAGTTGGTAAGGGGTTACGGGGGAGAGAAACGCAAAAATAACGCAATAGTTACTTTTACTAGTAACTAGTTACTTTTATTGTGGAGTAACTCAGTTTGTTACTCAGTTACTTTTTGAAAGAAGAAACTAGTAAATATAACTAATTACTTTTTCAAGGTAACGTGCCCAACACTGCCTAACCTCTAGGCCGCCACCCCCCACCGTTTTACAATCGCAGCTTTTGTTGGTAAACAATAGAGGAAATCCTGGAAAGTCCAACTCTTTGACACAAACCCTAGGAAGATATGTTAATTTAGGATTATGTTAGTAGTACATTTTTTCAATAATTCTTATGAGGAGATATTTTAAATTTCAATCAAGCCACGGTGTGGGATTTTCAGGGACAGCAAATCATCCAACTGCAGCTGCATGTAATGCTCCCCCCACCAATTCTACAAAATGGCTTCTGCAGCGTCTGCATCGGTATTCTTGTGATGACTAGGTTTATGGCCGGCCATTTTGATATTCAAAAATATCCTATCTAAAATAAACATTATGTTCAGATGGATACAGTCAAACCCACTGGTTGTGAGGAACAGAGACAAGACCTGGAAAACTGCACAACTTTAAACTGGCTCCATCCAGGAGCCAAGATCACAGGAATTCAAACTGGCTCTCTCCGCAATCCGAGCCAAAATCGAGTGGGCTCCACGGAGAAGAGCCAGGACCTGAGCTCCCCCCACCTTGCTGAGCCAAACATGACCAGCCAGGCCACGATTAGGAGACAGTAGACAAACACTAAACAGTCTCATCACACAGGCCCCCGAGAGTCAGGACATGAACCACGGACTTAACTAAAAATCTAACTTAAACAAACAAACAAACATGAATAGCTAATGATCTGGCCCCGATAAGTGTGCTGAACTGTATATAAAGCAGAAGGAGCAGGTGAATAAGATGAATGATAATTAGAGAGCAGGGAGGGTACGTGTAGTGGGGGAAAAAGTATTCAACTATTCACCCTAGTTAAATAAACGGATATCGATGCATTTCATTCAGTCAGCTCTTTATTTTCGTATCTTCGCAAAGAGAGAACAGTTCATCATACAGTCCTTACGGCACAGTGATTGGCCCTATTCTGACTAGACAGAGTTTGTCTCCCTTACTTATGTTGATGAAAAAACTGTGAAGGTTGTGTCTCAGTAAAAACAAATCACACACACTTTAACAAACCTTGAGAAACAATTTGGCTTGTTGTGGGAATAAGTATGTTTTATCTAAAACCAGCCCTCACTAAGACATTTTTTCAGCCCTGAAGGTGAAACAAACAGAGTAAAAACATTTTTCACTGGATAAATAGCATAACTAAATCTGTAAGACAAGAGAAATCTAAATTTTCCGACCACAATACAGCAGGTGAATGAAGTGATAAATTAGATCAGCTACTGGGGTGCGATCATGACAAATAAGGCCTATCTAACTGCAGTTTTAGATACTTGCAAAAGAATAATGGGGCTCTGTTTTAAATGAAAATAGGCGGCCTGACTTGTCACATGTCTTATCTCAATAGCACTAAAGCATTCTACCTACTTACAATTACAATGTCCCTATCAAAATTGTATGTTAGAGTAATAATTACATTTCTACCAGTATAAATTACATTATAAGTAATCCGGAGTCACATGTGAACTAGTAAGAACTACATTTCAAATATCTACAAATCTTTACTTATTTTAATTGGCCGTTTTAACATATATTTTCTTGAAAATATATTGACATATCTGAAATATGCATTTCAGATATCTTAGATAGTATTCTTCCTATCTAAAAGGAACATTTTAGATATCTGAAATGTAATTACAGTTACTAGTACAAATGACCACACTTTTCCCTGTTTATGTGTATTGGGCTGTTACTTGCACGTATCCAAAACATTACTCCTATCTAAAATAAACATTATGTTCAGATGGATACAGTCAAACCCACTGGTTGTGAGGAACAGAGACAAGACCTGGAAAACTGCACAACTTTAAACTGGCTCCATCCAGCAGCCAGGATCACGGGAATTCAAACTGGCTCTCTGCGCAATCCGAGCCAAAATCGAGTGGGCTCCACGGAGAAGAGCCAGGACCTGAGCTCCCCCCGCCAGTGTCCATATTTCATCTTGACATGATGACCAGAGAAGAGGATAAAGTAAGATCTCTGCAAGTCACATGGCAAGTCACAGAGGTATGACCAACCACCCGCCTCTGTGTGAGGACAGAGCCAGACTGGATGAGAAAGGCTGCCCTGCTGTGAGCCTGAGACAAAGAGGAACCCTGCTGTGAGCCACTGAGACAATGAAACCTCTGGTTCCTCTGGCTCGACTGCTGAGCTGCAGCTGGATGAAACTCAAGCCTTCCAAATGGAAATGGACAAAAAGGTTTGCAGGTCAGGCATGATTAGGGACAGAACAAACAATATGTCTTTTGATGATGTTGATCATTTCATGTGTTCACTGATGACTGAGAACAAGAATAACAGGATGGACTGCATGCTACGCTATGCTATACAGTAACGTGTTGAGCGGTTGTTTAAGCTTGGGCAAACTTTATTTCACTAAGGGTTTTAACACTGATATAGCATTAGTGTTCATGTGTTTTCTTTTCTCATATGCTCATTACATTTCGATTACCAAGTATGACTAAAAGTAATTTAATGGAATCCTGATGTCTATTTGCTGCTAGCTATTTCAAAGAGGGTACATAATCATTTCACTAAAAGTTATTGGTTCTCGATTTAGCAAATCATTTAATAAAACATTATTTGGCCAAATAATGTTTTATTCACCTCATGGAATAAAACATTATTCACATGGATTTGTGAATTGGTCTGAAAACATTCTAATTTCTCTAAATTAGTGACAAGCTAATTTGATCATATCCCAAATTCTTCCAGATAAACTTTCCATCTTAAACTGCTAATATGGTTTTACACCATGTTTCCCCTTCCTCTTTGTACATAGTAGTTTAGTTAGTTGAGTTTCATTAGTTTTAGTTAAGAGTGTTAAACTGAAATATGTTTTACTTGGAGCTGAATGATTTTTGTTAATAAACTCTTATATTTTGAACAGAAGTTGTGGAGATTTTATTCCATGTATGTGGAGTATTAACTGTTTGACCATAATTAGTGCTCTAATCACTCTTTCAGTTATTGTTCTAACACAGCTAGTAGGGCATATGTTCATTAACAATAAATAAAAGCCAAAATAATATCTGATTAGATAAGATATTTCCATCCCTACCGGGGAGGGAAATAAACATCTTAAAGTGTCATAAATGTAAATTTCCAGCTGGCTGGGAATTAAATAGAATATAAATCCACAACACATATATAACTACTGAGGATATATCCATAGTATTTCTTTTTGTTGCCGTTGTCTCACTATATTGTCTATTACATAGTTTCTCCACAAAAGGGCAGCAGAGCTCTATTCTAAAGAAGGTTAAACCAACGTTTCTTCCTGTTTTTACAGCCCCTACTTTCCTAACAGTCCCATTAAGGTCTGAATTGATGTGTAAATATTTTCCTTAAAAATACAACTGAAAGAATAAAATGTCTGACCCTCTAAGGCTTAGAGGCATTAATGCTGATACTGGCACTTACATGTTTTTGTTTGTAAACCTAAATAGAATTATTAACTAAGCGTATTAACTTTTTAACTTTTCAATGAGCTGTCGACCTTTTTTTCTTGACTTGTAAACTTTTTTTTTTTCTGCTGAGTGTACAGTAGGTAATATATCATTCAAGGGCTCAGCTAATTGGTCAAATGCCAAAATAAGATGTACAGTCATGTAGCAGCATCTCTGCTGAATGGCTGGATATAGATCTTGTGCTTCTAGACCTCACTGAGGGACGGGTGGGACTCCATTTGTAAGGGGTATGCAAGTGATCAAAAATGCTAACCTACCCTATGCAGTAAAACACCCCCCCAGCAAAGAATGAAATAATTTGATTTAAAAAAGCTCCAAGGATGTTTTATATATATTTTATAAGACGTTTTTTTGAGAATTCTAGACTAAATATAAAGAAATGTGGATAAAATCTTTGATTATTCAGGAGAGTATTGAAACAACCCTAATTGTATACATCCAAAGAGATCCCATTGGCCCTTTGCATTCATTTATTTAATCTCCCTTTGGGATAAGTATTTTTGAATTAAATTTGTATTTTTCAACAAGAGAAATTTAAAAGGAAATAATATTTATTACTAAGCCCTATGGATCAAATTTAAAAAGCCAAAAAAAAAAAAAAAAGATCAAAAGAGCAGTAAAGTTTTGCCTCGAATGAATTTGCTATTAATTCTTAAAAAAATGGAGGATATTTTTATTAATAAGCCTCATATTAAACAAGAACACTACGTCCTTTTGATCAAAGGGTGTCACGATTTAAATATTGTATATCACTAATGAAGGAGAAAACAAATACTCATAAACAAGTTTATTTAAAAAAAAAAGGGGTTGAAAAAGGATGTATTCTACAAAACATTAAACAGGAACACATTGTGGCAAAACTACACT